CAGGCTATCAGCGGTGAGAATGATCTTGACTCACGCAAAGCATAATTCTCCATACTTGGCCGGTAGCTTTAGTTTAAGCTACCGTGTGCAACTCAAATCTGAAGATCTCACTCATTCTCCGTGAAAACTCAAAATCCTTGATGGAGGGGGGGGGGTACTCCACAAATTCTTATTCAGCGGAGGCCCACCCCTTAACCTTTTATATACCATTTTTCACGATTTCGTACACCTTCTATTGACGAATGGTACTCCTTTCACATATCTTGCTTAGAACTTTGTATCCCTTTCAGCCCTTTTAACTGCTGGAAACCTGCACTGTCATCAAATAGGAATCAGTCACAAATGTAGAACGCTTTCTCGACGGGTAAGGGGCTGGACCTCGGGGTGGAGCCTCCCCATACAAATATTTGTTAAGTACCTCTCCGGGATTTCGGGCGGAGCCTCCCCGTATAGGAGTACCCTCCCCCTGGGCATAGCAAGAAATAATCACATTCCCAGACAAAGAAACTTACATGCATGCATGTAGTTATTCCGCAGATCCAGGATTTACGGAGAAAACCATAGAAACTAAAATCTTTATTTAGGGCTCCGTAATATTAAATTAAAGCTTTAGGCTTAAACAGAGGTCAAAGAAAATTAAAACACTTTACAACTGCATGTCAACTCCTAACAGGAACACCTAAAGAACCATAAACCACAGGAGATGATTACTCAGTATGCATGTAATTCTCTGTAGCGCTAGTAACTTTAACTTTAACTTTATTATTCCATCGTTCATATAGTACAAAACTCAGTAAAGCCAAAGCCGGGGGCTTATACGACCTCTGGTCAAAATGACAGAAATTATTTTATGTAGAAATGAAGCCACTGAAGGCGAAATTTCAAAACTAAAACAAGATACAAAACTTAAATTAAGTAATGCAAGCATTCCTATAGCAGAGGTAAAACTAGACGTACTAGCGACAAATAAACTAGCAATAAACTATGATACTCCCGCGCTAATTCAATCCAGGCTTAGAAAGTAAAGTTTTAGTTTCTATTTAAAGTCAGTGGTGGTAAGGCTGTTACGGACAGTAAAGGGGATATCAGTGGGATATCCTAGGCCAAATAATTGGGGCTTGAGAACTACTAGCAAATTAATACCTGAGGAACATTTTATGCAAGTTGAACGAGAACGAGTTAGTTAACCATGAAAATCACAATTAAAGTGGAGGAGCACTAAGGAAAGAGAGGCAGGTAGAAGGCTATTAAAGTCAGGGAGAATACCAGGGAAATAATAAAAAGCTTCGAGACTAGGAGGCGTAGAACGTGTTCGTGGAGGCGAAAAGGTGATAATTCGCGTGCGAGAGAGAAAAGAAGAAAGGTCTCAAGGTCGTGTTTCACATTACATCAAGAGCTTATGAGTTGGATTTTGCCTGTCGGACGCTAATTTCTAACTGAATCGATCGTTGTTTCGGTCAGCATTTGTGAAATAGCGTACACAGTTTCTCAAGAGACAATCCACGGATTCCAACAAATCCGTTGTCGGGGAGCCCACAACCATCACTACTCTGAAGGCAATTAATAAGAACCAAATCTTGCTCGAAATTAACGCGGGCATTGCATCCATGCTTGATTCAAACTGAGTTACTTTTCAGCACCATCGTACATGAAGGGGTTTATTGCTGACGGTATAATTCGGTGCCTCTTATATGACGACTTTCTGCGACCGCATATACCACATGCTTGTTTGTAACGCATATATATGGGGTTTTTTGTGCGCATATATATGCGCGTTTGTAAGAAAATGGTCATATACTTGGGAATAAAACGCAAGTATACGTGACAAAAAACGCACGTATATCGTGTAGCAGGAATGATTGCAAGTATATTTGGGAAAAAACCGCACGTATATCGTGTCGTAATTTTGAAACAAATGGCCGACCATAGCCATATAGCCACAGCGAAAGATTTGACTACAAAATTAATGTACAAGCAGTAAAAAAAAATAACACTCAGTCTGCACAGTCTGCATGGTCTGCGTTTCAACATGTCCGTTTTCGGACGTTTGAACAACACGCGAAACATGGTTCCGAACCAACTCAACAAAAATATATGAGGTAGTGTCTCGAAATTAACCAAACTTCATTCACGTATCCAGGACGGATGGTTCTTTGTACATATTGTCTTATTTCTCTGGAATCTTCACTGTCCTGAGTTTAAACAGCAGTTGAGTTGCAGCAAATTACAAATGGCGCCTTGTTATAAAAAGGAATAACTTGTACGTGAGCTCGCAGTTAAATCAAATTAAACAAATATTATTCGGCATCTATAAAGGCAGAAAGTGACAGGAAATGCTGAAATTCAGTTTTAATGCACGTAAACGGACAAAAGCGCTAAAAAGCTCCGGAAATTAACACAAACACAGGGGCACAAATCCATGTGAAGTTATCTAAAGGTCTCTAAAGTGCACGGTTACCACTATCATGCTAGCCTGCGAAAACATCCGTTTCTCCTCGCTCTTCGCCGCTGGGGACGTTTCGCGAAACGTCCCCAGCGGCGAAGAGCGAGGAGAAACGGATGTTCTCGCAGGCTACTATCATGCAGACATACCGCATTTTCCTCTTTTGCTTGAGATTCTGCCAGACGTTTCACATCGCATCTTACTATTTTGAAGTGAAAACTCCTCTAATTGTCTGCACGAATTTCCCAAAATGATTTAGATTTAATCTTCGTTTTCCTCATCATAAGATACGATCAACTCAAAATAACACTAACCTGGGGTTCACCTGATCGTATCAAATTTTCATAATGGTCACGCAATACTTTGGAAGCACAGGTTTTTTTTAAAAAAAAAAAACTCTTACGTCAGTTAAAACATGAAATGAGAAATTATTTAAAAATTCTGCTTTTCAAGAAAAAAAAAAGATTAATTGCAGATACATCAACTATATTGAATACATTCAGTTAGTGAAACATTTATTTCTAGATTCGAGAGGTAAAGTAACTCAGGAGTTAATTTGCAAGCGATATTTATCACAACTCTACGAGAACTGAATGGGGTCATTCTTGATGCCGGACAGTTGTTGTTCTTGACCAGTTTGTACATTCAGTTGTTTTGTAATAATTATTTGCGAGGCAGAATTGGATCAATGTTGAATAGGTCCGCGCGAGGGAAGGACAGGGTAACTCCGCGTGCGCCTTGTTATCCCTATATGCACACACTTACGCGCCCTTACCTAAATCGCATGTATATAGGATGAACATTTTTGGCTAAGACACTTACTTTTGCTGTCTGTTTTTTATCAATGAGGATAGCTGATGAACATGGGACACATAGATTCTATGATGTCTCGAGATACCCTCCCTTTCAACCTCGTCCCCATTGCGCTTTTCTCTAGATTTTGCATAAACTGAGATCGACACAAGCGATAGTCACTGCTTTGTCTCATTTTGTGGTCCAAAATAGGGTCGACAGGATTTTGAGAACCGTACAGCACACCCCCACTAGGAGTACCCCCGTCCCCGGGAGACTTGAAACCTGGTAGCAAGTTTACCTGTGAGGGCCCACTTGCTAATTATCAGATGCTTTAACGCTCTATGATCATTTCAACACCATCATTTGGGATTAAGAAACCGACGCAAGTTTATGTTTATGTTTGCCTCTAATCTAAATAAAGCTTAAAATGGCCTTTTGTCTCTTCTACCCCATGACTATACACGACGAACGCAGAAGGCAACGTTTTGAGGTAAGGGCGAGTACACGGTCAGCTAAGTCCACCTTAATAATAAGTAGGCAGTAAATTGCGAAAAATAGTTCATCAGATCTCCATCAGGGGGAACCTCAATCTCCCACACAAACCCTTGCTCCCCGAGCAGATTTATCAACAGAATGGTCCGCAGAGAAGGCTTCGCGCACGCCGACATTATCATCCATCACTATTATCATCCTCTTCATCATCATATACATTCCCCAAAAGTAATGATAGCAACATTTCATGTTAAAACACCGTAGTTTTCAATTGTATTTTTGTCCTTAGTATTGTCAGGCCGTTTTTTACATGAGGAAACTTTCAAAGTTTGATTTTAAGTGACGCGACACGAGGAAACATCTCTTTTTCAAAAACGTAGTGTTCCGCGCGTTTTTGCTTTTTGTTCCTTTAATTGCTTTAGGAACAACCTAGGAACGCACAATAAAGGAACTTTATTTGCACAAGAGGAACAAAGGTCGGCAAATTTCGGAACAATCTGGTCCGTTAGCAGCAAATTGGAACACAAAGTTCCTTTTCGTTTTAGTCAAAAGGAACAACTGGTTCCACTTTTATCCTTTCAGGAACAAAAAGGTCCTCTTTCAACAGTTCCGATTTCCCTTCATGTTCCTTTCGAAGTGATTGGGGAACAAATGTTCCCAATCTAATTTCTTGCTCTACACAGTAAGGAACAAATTGTTCCTATTTACTGGCATATCCACTGCTGTTCGGAACGCCTTGTTCCCTTTCGGTTCAAATTGTTCCTATTCATGCCCAACAGGAACGGAATTGTTCCTAATCGAGGAGGTTTTTTGTTCCTCAAGATGAGTGTTATGTTCCGCTTAAAAATGGGAACAGGTTCCGAATTTGTGACAAAGGAACTAGTGTTCCATTTTGCGCAAAGTGTAAAAAGGAATTGGGAACGATAGTTCCTATTTATCGTAGGCTATGTGACACTACTGTCCATCACCTCTGCTATACAAATTTATCAAAACATGTATCCTTCAACAATCAAGTTAAGTACGAGACTTGCCCGCTGCATGCTTAATCTCGTTTGGGCTTGCCCGCGCAAGTTCAGGCTTGTGTCTTTGTTCCTTTTGATTAATTGTGTACCAAATACGGACAAGAAAACAATGGGGCAAGGGCAAGAATGACCAAGTGTGGCCAGAGATAGGCTAACAACTATCTCATTGGCGAATAGGATGATCTCTTGGGGACCATTTTGCTAGTATAAGTGCATGCATACTTTAGAAAGATATCGATTTCAAGCTAATGCTTAAGATGAACAAACGAGGCAAGGATGTCAACTGGTCAAAGTTAGCAAATGCATCGCCTAAACCGAAGAGACTTCACTTAGAAGAGGATGACTGTGATGGTCTTTTTCACTGCCCAGTGCAAATTTGTAACCACGATGGATTCACTACGCTGCAAAGAGGCTGTAGAAAACACGTAAAGAACAAACACGGTTGGTACTATTACTTCGACGAGAAGCCAAACAGAGCTCAAATGGAGTCGTTTCACAATCAGTCCGAGAAAATTGAAGCCAACGATCGGACGATTCCACGTACAACGAGAGCAATTGCCTCATTCGACTTGAAAAACAACATTACTAAGAGTTTTTTCTCATGGCTAACTGGCAGCGGCGGGGGTTGTAAAAGCGACCGACAAGCACAGCAAATTGTCAGCAGGTGTTTAAAGTTTCTCAAATTCTGTTGCGAAGACGAAGAGGAACTCACATTTGGCATTGTTGATTTTAGCCTATGTTCACCGAATCTCCTATTTAAATTCGTTGATACGATGCAGGATGAATGGAAACTCGGACACGCGGGACGGATAGGTTACTTGGACGCCATTGCAGAATTAGCGGATTTCAGAAAAGCAAATGGCGCATCAGAAACAGTATGGAGAGGCCTGTCCACAGCAGAAATGTACTTAAAAAGGGCACGAAAAACCGTCTCAAAGATGATGAGGTTGCAATGGACCAGCGAACTCGATATTGACGCTTTGGAAGCCAAGACAGCTGGAAAGTATGGTTTTGATTCTCTTTTCCTGGAAAGACTACAGGGCGAGAGGGGATCAGAGCTAGAGATGGACGTACGCTCTAGGCTGTCTGAGAATTGAAGTTCTTCACAAGAACAAGATGTTGGCAGAACCGATACGTCTTCTAATGACGAAGAAGACGTAATCACAGATACAACACGCGAGCCTTTAGTAGGAGTGCCAAAATTGAGGCGCGAAAATGCGTTCAGAGTGACCGAAACAAGCACGCGACGGAAGAGTTTAATGTTCACCCCCGAGGAAGACAAACTTCTCAAAGCTGGACTTAAACGGCACGGATTTGGGCAATGGAAAGCGATTCTAACAGACCCCGACTTTCAGTTCCAAAAGGGAAGAACGGCCAACTCTCTTCTGAGCCGAGCCGCTCGAAGATTTGGATCATATTCAAAATCGACGCAGCGCTGACAAGGTCCTACTTAACGAACAAACTCAAGGGCATGTAGCTATCTTAAATTCTTGAATTCAAATAAATGAATTATTGCAAACTTTAGCCCTATATAAAATGCGAGAAATAGCTATAGAAGGAAGAGATAATGTAAGCTAAATCCATAACGTCAACATGATTTATTTAATGACTGAATTCCTCGGCATGACCATGCCATCATGGGGCTTCGTGGACAACATGCAAAAATAACGTATTATTTGAAACTGACAACAACGTTCTGTGGCGTAAAGGCCTTCAAGTTAGTTTAACTTAGTATATCTTAAATTACATGTACGGGCACCTAAGTTGATCCTACTTTTTTTACACGTTTCTGCGAACTGAAAAAGGTAGTCACCCGCTTCTGTCCCTCGGTTGTTTGGCTTCTCGAGAGTCTTGCTCGCCTCGAAGGTCTGTTGTCAGGTGAGGGTACTCGCCTCAGTAATGGTGAAGAGCCTGTGCAAATGCTTTCATCAAATGAGGGCTCGTAACAAGGTGTCTTCGGTGTAATGAACATGTCCTCGCTCTCCGATTCGATGGCCTCCTGGCTCGTAGGTGGAGTAAACATCGTCTGGTGCGTGTCCTCAGGCGGGTCGTAAGATGGTGTCTTTGGCGTATTACCATAGTCGTTTGAAGCCGTTGGTCTGGACATGTTTTGGTTGCTACCTTCGACGATAACCGGTAAAGGTGAGTACACATCTCTAATGGAACTCGCGTACCTAGGATCCACTAATCCACGTTTCACACAGATTTCTTTCCTTTTCTCCATGGCCATCTGCAGGCGAATGGTACCTTGTTTTTCGTGAAATGCGCGGAGTTTCTCACAGTCAATCTCTAAAAGACTCGTCAGCGTTGCACTCATGTCGGGGTCTGTGCCTCTCTCTAAACGCATATTGTTCTCGGCCATCTCTTTTTCTATTTCTAACAGCCACGGATTAGAGAATGCTTTTTTTACTTTCTCTTGCTCATCTCTTTCCCTTTGCTTTTCGAGACGTTCTGCCCTATCATTCAAGGCCTGTTGTTCTCTGCGAGCGAGGTCGGTTGGTAGTGGCTCGTCGGGATGCGTAATCAGTCGATCTGCCTGCGATTTGCTGGTCACTCCCAAATTTACTAGATATTGTCGACGTCCGGCGATTTGACGATCTTGGATGGCTTTGTGCTGTGTTTGAGCGTTTCGCAGGAGCATGCTCAGCTGTCTGTGCCGAAACCCACCCGGCACCGCCTTTTCGAGCTCATGGCGAAGCTTGTCTATGTGGTTGTTATCTTCATTTTCATCGGAGCTGTCGCTTTCGGCTTCACTCTCCTCTTCAACCGTGAGTGAGATTTCACCGCCTTCCGTGTTGCACTCGGGGGCGTGCTCGTCCAGTAGGGAAACGGACAAAATTCTCTGAATGTCTTCACTTTCTAAACCGTCCTCACGCTCTCCTAAAGTCCTTCCAGTCTGTGCGGTAGTGGAGTTTGTAGCAACCATCTTTTGGGCCCATACGATGCAGTCCATTGCATGTTCTCGCGGCCACTGGTTGGCCTCCGGGTTAACTTGCGGCAAGCTTCTGAAGAAGTACTTGTGAAGTCTTCGGTTCATCGCGTCATTGTGGGCCTCGCCAAAGTCCATCTCCTGTTGACGTGTAATGTACATACTTGCACGGCAGTGGAACCCCTGGGCCTTCTTCCATTTCACATCGTGGGATGTAAAACCGCCTTGACAAATTATCTTCCAGTCATCTATGTCGAGCAGGTTGTTGTATGCCTCGTCGAGAAAGATAACTTCCGTGGAGCTGTCAATCATCGACTTGTTAAAGCTCTTCTGTTTGGTCACGCGAGCGATTCGGCTTAACGGCACAATTTGAAACACTGGGCTGAACAGGCTCGTTTTGCCGCTGTCAGAAGCTCCGATGGCACATGGCACAGGTCGCTTATGTTCTTTATCTCTGAATAGCACGAGAAAATCAGCGCAAAACTGTTTTATTTGCCCTTCGGGTAGGCTATTGGTTAGAATTTGCTCGAAGTATTTAGGATCGGGCTCTTGGAGGCTGTCATAGTGGACATACGCTCTTGGTGATGTGATACCTCGCTGTAGAAAAGAGAAAAAAAAACTGTTAAAACATACAGACATGTAATAAATAGGTAAAAGAAGAAGTAGAAACCTTTACCCGCCAACAAGCTAGGAGTAGTCCTAGATTAGGTAACTCGAAACTGAATAGCACTTGATTTGACATATTCCAAGGTTAAATATGTTGTATAGTAATAGAAAAACGACTTTTCTATTGAACAGATACCTTGTCATTTTAGCCAGCAGATAAATTGTAGCCAAGAAAATTGTGATAACGGAATTAAAACAACCTTTACTGATGAAAACGTATGCTCTCACCTCTGATTCTGGGATCACTCCTTGTACAAAAGCTCCTTCAGAGAAAGACCAAAACCAGCCATTCTGCACTTCAACCAAGTTTCGATCTATTTTAAGTTGGCCAATCAGGGAACTTTCTGGCTCACTCAGAAGTGGTAGAACTCGTTGAAAATGTTGGACAAGCCTGTCTTTGAAGCACTCATTCCCCATAAGATTTAACAGAAATGACTTCATGGAGCAAAGAAACTTGAAAGTAAATTGTGATTCTGCAACTTTCTTGTACACATTTCCCCGGTAGACACTAAACTGAAGCTTTTTCATAGCGGCATGGATGTCGTTACAAAGAACTGTTAGTGGGCAAGACAATGGCTTATGTGGTGTACACGGTATTTCTACGCCCGGGGTGCTGCTTTCGTTTTCATGGCATGGAGACCAAAACAATCGATTTTCAAACCAGCGCGGCGCAATTCTCGGATAGATGTAGTCATCATCGGTTTGAATTCTTCCCTAAGCACTCGCACACGAACCACATTTTCTGTCGACAACATTTCTTGAGACTGTTCGTCATCACAAATATCTATTTCGTCTTGAAGGGCGCTGTCAATAAAGAATAAAAAACAGACAAGTTTACTATCTCAAAATAAATTTTTGACTAGCGCATCAAAGTTTGAATTAACGCTCTTTTTCGTGTTAAAATTCCCAGATGGTCTAAATCGCACTTAATTAGCCACTTGCACCCTTGCATATTGTTACTTATTTGAGTCAAGACAGTTAATTAGAGACATTGCTTGACTACGAGAAGATGGCAACAATAAGGGTGGACTCCTAGGTGTTGATTTCTTTGGTTAACTATAGCCTTTACTATAACAGTTTTGCATAGAGTATACTAACCTGAGACAATGCTGATAAGAAGCCTCCACAAAATTCATCAGGCAAGGATTCTTGTGATCTTTTAAAACTTGGCAGAGTTGGTTCAAGTCGTGAGAATTTTTTTTCCTTGATGCCCTGGAAAGATAGAACTCGAGCCCGCATTTCCCAAGAGCACGTTGAATTTTCATGGGATTAACAGCTGAACCATTTTGAGTTTGGCAAGCCACCCAATACGAAATTGCTGGGAAAACTTGCTTTCCAGGCGTTGAAATTTCCGAGGGGTTTATGGCAGATTCTTCGTTTGACTCGTCGATTTCTCGTCCTTCATCTGATGTTGTTGATTTTTTCTTTTTGCTGTCAAGCTTTGAGGTGCTTATTGCCGAAAAGAAAAAGCAAACCTCGCTCAGTTTCGACAATTCCAAATCACATTCATCTCGCTTTTCGCAGATCCAATTCCAGGCTTGTTGAATTTCTTCATCGCTTACTCTCCAAACACACTTAAATGCCACAACAGAACACGTTTTCTCAATTGCTGCTACTATGTGACACTCCACTTTATCCCTTATAACTTTGCTGTTTAGCTGCGAACAAGGCTTGCTCATCTTGACTAGCCAACGAAGTCGAGTAAAAGCCCTTTTTCAAGGCCTCTTAGCCATGTTATATCTAGCACAATACTTACGGGAATAGAACAAGTCTGTGCCATTGGCTGGATTAGTTGACTGAAAGTGCGAGCATAAATTAACCTCAGTCTGACTCAATTATTCAGTCCAAATACGCCTTACACGCGATAACCGGTATTCCCTTCACACACGAAAAACATTAGCAAACTACCTGTGGAACTAAATCTTAACGGTACTTGTTAAATTTATTCTTGCTTTTGGTGTCTAAAAAGAGATAAGCGTAAACCAAGGGTATGATCTGAAGACAAAAAACAAGGATCTTGAAATCAGTATCAGATGTTAAAGTGTACAGCGATTTAAGCGTAAACTACGGATATGGTCTGAATATTAATATCAACGATCTTGAAATTGCTTTTTAATGTTAAAGTGTAAAACGAGATAGGTGTAAACTACGGATATGGTCTGAATATTAATATCAAGGATCTTGAAATTGCTTTTTAATGTTAAAGTGTTTAGCGAGTTAAGCGTAAACTACGGGTTTGGTCTGAATTTAATTAACAACAAAAACAGGAATAATATAAAATAATAATAAATAATAATAATAATTTATTTTATTATTATTATTATTATTTTATTTATAATTATTATTTTTTAGATTTTTATTGTCTTTTTTTTTAAAATTAAGTTAATTAATTCAGACCATACCCGCAGTTTACGGTTAAATCACTGTACCCTTCAACATCAGATACTGATTTCAAGATGCATGCTATTAGTATTCTGGCCATATCCGTTGTTTACGCTTATATCGCTTTTCACTGTAACATCAGTAAGCAATTTCTTAACCTATCTCTTTAGTATTCAGGCTATTCCCGTGTTTTTAGCTTATCCTGCAATAAACTCTGGGATCGGAAAAGTCTTCAGTAACCCATGCTTCTCACTTTTCGGATGTAAACAATGCAACAAATAGGAGTATTAGTCTAGCAGCAGCAGCAGTACTAGTAGTTGCTGTTGTTGCTACTTTTAATTTGAAGCAAAATCATTAGAAAAATGAGAGAAATTGGTTTTGTGGGAATTTCTCTTGTTAGACCAAGTGAATAGCGTGTTTAACGTGAACAGCGTGTTTGCTTTTCCTAGGCTTCTTTAACTTTAAGGACCGAAAGAGGAAAGGGAACTAAAATTTTGGGGAATGATCATAGTCATCATCATCAACATCAACACCATCATCATTATCATCATTATAATCATCAGCGGCAGCAGCAGCAGAAGCATCATCATCAGCAGTACCATCTTTATTATCATCACATCAACATCATCACCATTATCACTATCATCATCATCATAATCATTACAAAACCATTTTCATCATCATCATCATCGTCGTCGTCGTCATCGTTATTACAACTGTTTGGAACAAAAACATGTTGAAAAAGAGGTGGAGTATCATGTCAGATTCGGTGGAACACCATTCATGTTACTTTCCTTCACAATCTACAAAAACGCTCCCACTAGAGAAAATTCATTCTTCACGTGACTCAGTTTTGCAAGGCCAGGGAGTCGCATTTCATAGATAAGGCCATGACTCTTGAACCTCATGGCCAAAACCGCCTTGACGAATTATTGTAATCCATATCCTTAGTATTTTTCCTTTCCAGTTTTTATGTTGTACGTCATTTCCGCCTCTCCCTTTTATTGCGACATTCTCCATCTATATAATATTGTGATTGCTACATAAGTTCAGTAACATCTGTAAACCTGAAGAAGGCTGGTATGGCCAGCCGAAATATTGTTATGAAAAACAATACACGTTGTTTTGAATCAGCTTTGCAGTAGTCTTTGGATTTCTCGTTCTTGTTTTAGCTGGCGCCCGGAAGGCTCTTATGTGGGTTAAAAACATTTCCAATTTTGGGAGATTTTGCTATCTAAACATTCCTTGTCTCAGAATAAATATCACTTTAATCCTTTATGAGTTTTTCAAGCGATGAATTCGCGCATTAGTTGGAAAACTCAAAAACACATGCTTCTGTTGGTTTCCGGCGGCCATATTTGTGTCCCTCAAAGGGACACAAACATGGCGTCTCCATACAAATTGTAAATTTGGGTAAAACGTTTTTCCGAATATCTCGCATATGAAATATCGCACAGACCTGATTCTTGGCGAGGCCTTTTGCGTATTTATCTTCTTTTATTTTCTAGATTCTGGACTTTCTGTATTGAATGGTTCGCAATTTTATTTTTGATTGCGTGACAGTGAAAACCCCCAATTCATAAGAACGGTGATTTCAAATGGCGTGATTTTTGTAACGGAGCGAAGCTGCGCTGAACTTGAAATCGAAAGTGGATCGTCAGGCCTCTGCCACTCCGTCGTAGTGTGAACTGGTATCTTCGGACCGTAGCGACGGGACAGGACTGGAACAACTGTCTTCAGAGAAGTTGGTTCACCAAACACTCTCGGCCAACCCTGCCCTCCGGCACGATGTTCGATCATGTGTGAACGAGTTGTTGCTGATCTGTACCGATACCGTTCATATTGTACCGGATAGCTTTTCCTGTCGGTTGAAAAGCTATCCAGTATAGTCTGAACATAGGCAAGATAAGTTAGTTACTCCTCGTTAGTGGGATAAGAAACCGGAAGTTTTTTTCAAATGTGAGATCGCGTTAGAAAGTTACGAAATTCTGCGTCCTTTTTATACGAGACTATTAGTCCGGGGCCATGTGTCGGAATAATCATTCTCGTGGGCATTTTATGAATATTTTAGTTTCTGTACGGAAACTTATAGTTTAAATGGTATTGAATCGACAAAACGTTGTCTGCAATTTTTTGAAAGCTACGAGGGCCTGTTTTATGCAAATTAGATATGACGTCATTTTACAGCTGAGGACTGACAAGGAAATGTCTTTAGTATTGTTGAATTGAATAAAATGCATTTAAAACTGGAGTGAAATCACATTTTGACTGTTTCAAGGACTAAACGAATAGAACGGATGTTAAAAGGATAATAACACGAGCTTTTACTTTAGCAACACTTGTTCTTTACTTGGTCAATAGCTTTACTCCAGTTATTTACTACATATCTTGAATGAATCCCCATTGAATTTAAGAGTCTAATCTGGACCTTTTTAAAGTTTTCTTTTAATGTTTTGGTCGACTCTTAAACTCCAGATAATAAATAATTATAATCCTGTCTGAATCTAGTAAGACATGTACAAGGCATGCGTTTTGATGGCCCTCCTGTGGTTTAGAACTCAACACTTTATTTGTTTATGCAGGTTATCCTTCCTTTCTTGTTTGGTTTTACTGTGCGAAAGCATATTTACCTGACGATTACAACTGTGTACACGAATTATCTGGAAATCAATGCATTGTTATTATTTGGCTTTGAAATTATCCAGAAATGTCTAGTGTAACTTATAATTCTTCTTTGGTCTTTAATGAAGGGAGCCCATTTCTAAGGGCGCTGTGTCGAGTTGGGCATCTGTGTTTCCAATTTCCCGAGAAGATATGAAGTTTTATTCATTTATTATTATCACCTTGCTACAATAAAACAATAGAATCATTAAAACAAATTAGGTGTATACCTTGTTCAGGGCCTAGAATATATATATACAATTATCTTCGCTTGTTGCTTTAAATGCGTTTATTTGTGAATAAGACTTTCCGGCGCATGAGTGGAGCACGATGCTCACAGTACTAATGCAGGCACGGAAGATCACCGCTGTGGTTATGGGAGAAAGCCACAAGACTGTCATTACGTTTGACCTCCAACTATAGCAGAAGGCTGTGAAACTCCAGATGCACAAGGGCCCAGACTTAAACCACCTGGTTTTCCGAATTGGCGAGATGCACACGATAATGGCTTCTTTGCGCGCTCTTGGGGCATCAATCGATGGCAGTGGCTTTGACGAGGGATGGATAGAGGCGGGCCTGTGTGGTTCAACCACAACGCGACAGCTTCCTGAAGGAAATCATATGAAGCGCGCTCTCACAGATCACAGCATAACGTACTCTGCCTTGAGTGATTTGCATGTGGAGGCGTTTTTGAAGAGCGAAAGTGCTAAAAGTAATGCCGAGCACAAGACTGTATACGATAGTGTAATACAAGCATCCGTTGCGATGAACACCATCCCTTTCTGTGCAATTGGACCGGACCACGCTATGGAACACGTCAACAAGTTGATGAAGATTCGGGGAGGGCTGAAAGGTCTAAGACAGCGACCAGCAGCCATGGCAAGATGGTTCCTTGTAGCGCCAGAACTAAGTGGACTTGCGACCCAAGCTGAGCACATTGTGGGGGTACAAAGAGCCTCATCATCGCATCATCACGATTTAAGCGATGCGATAACAAATAGCTATAATGAAAATGTACAGAAGCTGAAGGATGTGCTCAAAGTGAGTGACCCTTTCGAGACAGAGGAACGTCATCTGGTGAACATCATCACGAAAGCAGTTATGCCAGATTACATCAAGGAGGGAGTCCTAACACGAGATAAGATCGGCCAGGCGTTGTCTGACACATTTGCCCAAGAGAGAATCGTCGAGGCCAAGTTAAGTGTTTGGAGCCCCATGAAAAAGGCAAATCTGAAGTCATGGAGGTCTGCTGGGCAAACAAACTTTAAGAAGAACAAGACAACTTGTGGCGTCGCACCCTTAAAAGGATGATAGAGCTCTCTTCGCACGCTTCTTAGTCGTCATTCTCTCAAGGCCTGATCTTGACACAAAGGAAACCATCAGTACCTTTGAGTTAGCCGAGTATCCAAGGGCACTCTTCTTCTCTGATGGCAGTTTGCGACACTGCGCTACCAAGAGCAAGCTGATGAACATCCTGGAAAGCCTTTTACCGGCCCAACAGCAACCTACAAACGTCTACAGTACAACCTCACTCTGCAGATCCCTCCAGTAGGCAAGTGGTCATTATTGATGTCATGGCCGTCGTTCAGACAATGGGAAAGCCACTGTGGTTGAGAAATGGGCGTGACCTAGCAAGCCATTTCATAGAAGTCATTGATTCTAAGTCTGAAGGTGCCACCGAGGTGCATGTTGTATTTGACCGCTACGATATCCCAAACTCCTTAATGGACACAAGGAGAGCAGTGGTATACAAGATTACTGTGGATGCTGTTATTGACAAGATCACGATGAAGGATCTTTTGAGCTGCAGCCAGAATAAGGAGACATTGGCTATCTTCCTTGCAGCACATCTTATCGAGTGCAAGAAAGACTAGCATGTAGTAAGGGACTGGTCAAAAAGCATAGGGGGGTAGGCCGGAGCATTTGGAAATGTGGTTGATAAAAAACACATGACCCACCCCCTCCCTTCGGCACAAAAATGACTGACCCACCCCTAAAGCAAGGTTGGAAATTGCATGACCCACCCCCTAGTTAAAACATGGATGTTTGGTTTCCTCTTAATAATCCAATAAAACCTTGTTCTGTGTTTGACAAAATTTGTTGATACACTGCTACAACCAATATCAAAATCACAGCAATAAGAGCAACTCCATGCACATATCGACCAAAGTGCGGCAAGGCTCAAAAAATAAAAATCGCTCTTCTTTTGCATACTGATAGACTTTAGTAAGTGTACAAACGCCATGTAGTTTTTTCTTCGAAAGATCTGTTCGTTTCCGTGAAAAACAAGAAAATCGTTTCAAGCCCCGCCGTCGATTTCGCAAGCCGAAAACAGGGTTGAAATTCACTATGATTCGCTCGACTTGCATTTCAAAACAACCGCGCTAGAAAAAAGCTTGTTGCTGAAATTGTAAGTATAACTCATCGTTGACCAAAATATATAATATTTTTCGCATTACAACAGTCTGAGTAATTATAAAAAAGCTAAAGCGTATGTCTACCTGTTGTTCAACCACGGAAGGTAGTTGAAAAAAGCGCCGATTTTCATCATGTGCCTTTGATCAGAATTTTTCAGGATTGAAGAGGTAAACACTATAAGCATCAAACTATTATGTTATGTTAAAATTATTTTGGGGAAATCATTTTGAGCTTCTCAGAAATTATTTGAAATTCCTGTTACAGACAACATAAAATAACGCCATCCAACATATGAGTCACGCGACCACCACCAACAATTTGACTTTAGGTTTCCGTTTACAACGCCGGTAGCCTTGATATGTAGAACAATGTTTTTGAAAAGCTCACCTTAACCTGTATCTGTTGTACTTCAAGCTGCAAGTTGTTTCATTTTGCCGTCTTATCACCTATGTTACCGTAGTCGTAAAGTCCGCTGGAATGTGTGCGTTCACATTGTAGCATTGTGGAGGTGCGTGACAGCTTTCTGGTAATTTCTTCATCCCTCTGTTTTCTCTAATGTTTTCAAGTTAACATCTCATACTTGTTAAAAATTTTGAGAAACCTGGACCTTAAAAACCCGTCTATAAAATAAAGCTCGGTAGTTAGTTCGTGGATCCGTTCACTTCAATTAATCTCATTTGCATAGGAGTGTGCCAAAGGTCTACTTCCGGTGAAATACACGTGACGAGCTTTACCGACTTTCACCCGTTACTTCCAGTACACTGAAGAAGATTCATCTTTTATACTCCTCCTTCTTCAAAAGTCTCCAGTTGACATTATTTTACCCGGGAATTGACGTTTTAGGCGTTAGATTAACTTTATCGAATTAAATTTAGTTTAATTTGATTCAACTGTTCATTCCCACTGGAAAAAGAAAAAGATCTTTGCATAAACACTGTTTGTGTGCGCTCTTCTTCGATGAAGCTATGGAAGGTTCGTGCTCCTTCGAGCCATTAGTAGGTACTCTGTGTTCGTTTGGTAGAAGGGATAAGCAGAGATGAACTGAGATTGTTCCTTTGTCGTCAAACTATTAAGGACGTAACCGGGCATAGGTCGACATGGTCTCTTTCTGGTATTGAAAGCGAAACAGACTTTATTTTAGCTCAGAACTGACCAGCCAGACCATTCCCGTCACACTGATAATTTCCCTTTTGATCAAACTCTTCAGCTAGATCGGTCAAATCCGAAATAGTATGCTCGAAAGAGAACGTTTTTCAGCAAAAACTCTTGGAAAAATCCTATTTCATTTTCAAACTGCCTGGTCAGGCGATGGTCCAGCCGGCCAGTTCTGACAGATGGAAAGCGCCCTAAGTTCCTTTAAGATATGCCCTTTCCATCTTTCTGAGCTCGGTATTGGATGGGGACGGAACAGTTATTCCAATTCGTGCCAAGTTCCAAAGGAAATCGCCAATCACATAATTGAAAGAAGAGGGAAACCTGTTAAAGCCGACAAAGGAGTTAGAGGAAGAACATTTCAGAATATATCTATCAGCAAACCGGTATCCTCATTCCTGTAGGTTCAGGTACTCTTGGTTTATTCATTGTATTATATTCTAATAAGTCACTTAGGTTCAATCCGCGAATACTATATAAAGTTTACCATAGTTGTCAACTCTCTTAGATAACCCAGAGTCTCCCGGGTAAGGCACCAATCCACCTAATCTGTCGGATAAAATAAAACTTTCAGTTTTTCTTTTAGTTTGAAATTAAACCCGATTTCCCCTAGAGTAAATATTTTTTTTTTGTAAAAGTTAAAGATCATAGTACTAGTCCAGTTCTGATGGCATTTGTTGTTGTCGTTGTTGTTGTTTTTTTTTGTTTTGCATTTCCTTCAAACGACTGACTCGTACCTCATTCAAGACAACGTGTGGGGGATATGGCGTCGGATAGAACTCAACGATTCCACATTCGAACAGCAAAACAAGTGGTCGATGCAACTCTTGGAGAGATTGCAACCTCGTTCCCAGGGTTCTCTCCTACCCGCCCTACGGACGGACGGGTAGGAGATTGCGCCAGAAGACGCTGAAAAACTCTGGGTATCCTTAGTTCAATCTCAAATTGTAGCAGACCAATGACGAAGCCATTGACTTCAAGCTCAGTAGCAGATGCGCTTGCAGAATGTTACAAGACGCAGGACACTGGGGATCACGAAGAGAAATCTCTTAGGGACGTATCATTAGAAAAGTTATGGGGGGGGGGGGAATTTTTGAGCCGCAGGAATTTTTTTTCGTTATCAAATTCCTTGTACGAATTTTTTAGTCTGTAGCATGAATATTTTTTAGGGTTAATTGGCGTGCATGAATTTTTTTATTTAATTTTCCCTTGCGATGATATTTTTCTGCTACTTCCCCATAAGTTTTCTAATGGTCCGTCCCTTATGTCACTGAGACAAAATGGATTTCGAAATCTTACAAAACTGGCTTCCTGGTGTTACTCGGCACAGGTTAAAGATCGCAAGGCACCATCGGATCCTTCATGGCCGAGGTTCTGTTGTCTCCGCTGTTTCTTCCAGAAGAATGTACTTTTTTGTTTGTTTTGGAAATTGTCTTATTTCAAATGTACTAACAAAAAAAACGTAAATAGTGTTTGTTTCAATTCACGAAAAGTGACATTTAGCACAGCAGAAATTATATTAATTTTGTCCTTTATTAAGAAGGCTCTTTGAAATAACGCACGTGCAGCCAGGATTACCCACGTGCAGCCAACAACTGGAAGTTCTACCTGTGAAGTTGGGAAGAAAACATGTACACAATTTTTTGTTAAGACATCTTTTGATTTGATAATGCAATGCCGACGTCTCGAAGCAATGAAAATCTTCAGCGAGGCTACCAATTAAATTCTTCATTTTCAAAAATTTTATATTACACGCATGTTTTGCGTTTGCTTCTCGCCTGCTTTTAGCGGATCCTGACCCCGTGGCCCCGGGATCTTGACAGCTGTAATCCGATATCACTGTTGAAAGTAATTTGCATACTGAGTCACAAAACGTCCGTAGGGCGCTTTATCCTTCAGATTGGCGCTTCCTTCTGCGGTATCCAGCAGCATTTTGAGACAAAAGTTGTTGACAGATAAGGAAGAGAGGGTTTACTACGTGTTGAATTAACATAAGCGAACTTCGTTAGAAAGCATGCGTGTTGGTTATGAGTCTCAAACAGAGTTTAATATAGAATGGCAAACTTGAACAGATGGCAACAGGAAACATTTTGCCGTAAACCTAGACCTGAAACAAAGAATAGGGTAAGTACTTTAACATTTAGAACTTTGTTTGTGAATATTAGCTAGACTTTTTAGGTCAGACGTTTGATGACCTTTGCCTGGTCGACTGACGATGGTCACGCATATGTTTAAGATGGCGTTACGTTATGTTGTCTGTAAAACGATTTTCAAATAATTTCTGAGAAGCTCAAAGTGATTTCCCCAAAATAATTTTTACATAACATAAACGTTAGATGCCTGTAGTATATTTCCCTTCAATCTGAAAAAATTCTGATCAAAGGCACATGATGAAAATCGTCGCTGTTTTCAACGACCTTTAGTGGGTAAACATCAGGTAGCCGTACGCTTTAGTTTTTTTATAATTACTCAGACGGTTGTAATGCTAAAAATATTATATATTTTGATCAACGACGAGTTAAACTTAAAATTTTAGCAATAAGTTTTCTTCCTAGCGCGGTTGTATTGGAACGCGAGTCCAGCGAATCATGATGAATTTCAACCCTGTTTTTGGCTTTCGAAATCGACGGTGGGGCTTGGAACGGTTTTCTTCGTTTTTCTCGGAAACGAACAGATCTATCGAAGAAAAAAATACATAGCGTTTGTATAATTACTAAAGTCTACCAGTCTGCAAAAGAAGAGCGATTTTGATTTTTTTGAGCCTTGCCACGAATCGGCGATTTTGGTCGATTTTTGCATGGATTCGCTCATAATACCTTTCACTGAAAAGACAAATGTGAAAAACCGAACATTTCTTGTTTCGATGGATGTTCTGAGTCTTGACACAAATATACAGCAAAACGAGGGTATATTGAAATTGTCTGTCACAAAGCGTATCAAAATTTCTACAACCTATTCCTACACATTACTTGCCGGAAATGCTTAGATTAATCCTCAAAGAACCTTCTCGCACATATTTCACCTCGTGTCACCCTCCAAATGTTAAAAAAGGATTTGTCAAAGGAGAAGCCTTGAGAATCCTACGAAAAAACTCCTCAGAAACAACCTTTGAGGAAAACGATTCAAATTTAAAAAAAAAAACGCTTGATGGACGGAGGCTACCCACAATCTCTGATAGAAAACCTACTATCAGAAATAAAATTCACAAAAAGGAGTCTAGACTCCTAAAACAAAACAACAAGGAGGAGAAAGAAATATTGCCATTCTTGACACAATACCAGCCCTCCGTGTCTACTATAAAGGAAGCTTGAATGAAAAAATGGAGTCTTATACAAAACCAACTATGACTTCAATAAATTTTTAAAGAACCACTAATCATTTCCTTACAAAAAAGGAAAATCATTAAAGGACATACTCGTTAGAGCCCAAAAAAAAAGGTTAACAGAGGGTTCCACGCCCGTATAGATGTGCGGCCTGTCACCCTTTGTACATTCTCGCACAACAGGTTTGTGAGTATTTTAGCAATAATTTTAGCTGGCTGTGTTTTATATAACAAGTGTAGTCAACTGTCTCGTTAGTAGTTAGTGCGTATCTATGTAATAAAATAGGGTGACCCACCCCCTAACGGTAGCTGAAAATTGCACGACCCACCCCTTGCACAAGGCTCAAAACCTCATGACCCACCCCCTCTCTGCTCCGGCCCACCCCCACCCCTATACTTTTTGACCAGTCCCTAGCCTCTAAAGCTGACTGTATGGCTTCTAGTAGCCTACCGATTCAGCATTTAAGGAGTGAGCAGAAGGAAGCAGATACTCGTATGCTCCTACATGCTCTAGATGGCACACAGAGAGGAGCAACGTCCATAACCATTCAGAGTCCAGATACAGACGTACTCGTTCTGACGTTCTGGGTTTACAAGAGACTTTGTCCAGACACTACAGTGATTGTTGGAACGGGAGGAAAACGAAGAAGTATTCCACTAGGCCCACTCTACGAGGCGGTAGGAGAACAACTTAATGTGAAGGCTTTACCTGGCTTTCAGGAAGTGATCAGACAGGCACTATCAGTGGAAAAAGCAAAGTGTCTTGCTGGAATACACTAAAGAAAGCTGAACGATCAGTTCTCGATGCCTTTTCCAGCCTGGGAACCACCGACACCATCCCAGATGATATATACATGACGCAAGAGCGCTTTGTCTGCCAGTTGTACATCCCATCGACACAGCTAAGAACCATAGGAGAGGTCCGATGGCTGCTCTTTAGCAACAAACAACACGTAGATGAGCAGCTGCCCCCCACTAAAGCGGCTCTACACCAGATGACAAGACGTGCTAATCTCGTTGCATTGGTTTGGAAGTCTTGCGACAACCCAAATCCCAGCATTCCTAGCCCGATATTACACGGATGGCAACAAGATGGGGATAGACTGCAGCCGGTTCCAACCACACTCCCACCTGCACCTAAGGCCGTACTGCAGTTGATCAAGTGTGGATGCAAAGGAATCTGCATCACAATGAGCTGTTCGTGCAGGAAACACAACCTAAAATGCACTGATATGTGTGGTTCATGCGAGGTAAAATGTACGAACAGGAGCAGTAACACTGATACAGTTGAGCATATAACAGGGGATATTAGTGACGACGAGGACCTTCATATATAGGCCCATCTGCTAGGTTGGAACTGAGACCATGATATTTAAGTACTATTGGACAAGGAAATGCTTTGCTTAATGCTAAGTCATTTATGCTTTGTAATTAAGCAATCCTTAACGGAACATTAACATTTGTACAGCAATGACACTAGACTTTTGTCATAATTCTAAAACTGTGGAAAAGGGATTGCAGAGGCTTTACATGATAGAATAGACTTAAAAGCGAACGTATGCACAGTTTTGTGCATTATGGGAGCATTTTGGGACATGTATAACAAAGCCCAACTCGAGTACCCGGTGTTTTGTGGGTCAAAAACCTAATTTGCATAAATTAATCTTAAATGACTTTGAAAAAATTGCAGACAACTTTTTTACGATTCAACACCTCTTAAACTATATATTTCTTCAAAGAAACTAAAATGTTCATGATATGCCCACGGGATTACACATGGCCCCGGACTATATCAGTAATGGTTTTTCTCTCATACTTCGCAGCGTGCCTAAACTGACCGAATCCTTCTGTATATCTACAAATATCACCCCCCGTTATAAATTAATGTACATTAGATGAAGACATACCTACAAATAGTGCGAAAAAAGGCTGCTTCAGAATGAGGCCAATACATACTACTGTTTGTATTACGTTATTTGGTGATTGCACCCGTCCCCAACACCAAAAAAATTATTGATATGTTATATAGCGCTACGCTTGATTCACTATTAACACCACTATGAATCATCTTTACATAAATATTAAAATACTGGAAAGTAATAGTAATTCGGTATCTGTTTTCAAATATAGGTTTTTCTTTTTGATTGAAAGGACCAACAGATTTGAACTACCAACCTTTCAGAAGTAGTACTGTTTGCAAAAGTTTTTTAAAGCACTAGCCCTACAGCGATTTTCGTACAGGCATGCACAGGTGACAGTCCTGAACACTGGGGGATAACAACCTCGTTCCCAGGGTCCTCTCCTACTTGTCCACTGGAGCGAGAGAGGGAGGAGTAGTAGAGCATCCTGGGAACGAGGTTTCCCTGGATAATACCTTCGGAGGAATAGCGTGCTAAACGACTTTTGTCTTTATTTTAGTATCTGGACGAACAAGTAACCTACCATGCCAGTCCAACTACTTTCCTTCACCAAGAATGGCATCTTGTAAAGTTTCTAGTGATAGACGTTTTCGTACTTTTATCGTTCAAACGTCCAAAGAAATAACGGATGATTTATTGGGAACGTTGAAATTTTTGTGCAAAGACGAATTGCCAGAGGGAGAGATTGAATCCACCAAGAACTCCCTAGAGTTTTTAGAACTACTATGGAGACGGAGTAAGATTTGGGCAGGAAATATGGCTTACTTGACTGCCCATTTGGAAACTGCAGGGAACTTTAATCTAGCCAAAAAGGTCAAAGAATGGGGTGAGTGTATATATTATTCTATTCATGTTGAAGATAAGATACCGATTATCTCCTCACCTGCCGTTGAGCCAAATAAAATATGAATTTCTAGTCGATTTGCATTGAAGAGCAGTAAGAGAATAATACCAAGTTTTTTAAAAACTTTTAACAAGGAGTAGTCAGCGAAAATCCATCGACACCTCCAGACAGTGCGCCTAAATAATAAATTTGTTAAGTTTGTGGATGATGGGTTGACAACAAAGAAGAAATGTCTCCGCCAAGTCGCGAATTTTTAAAGACGCTTGTGTGGTGGGGGCAAATTTGCGACTCCCATTTTAGGAAGGTCTATAAAATTTCGCGACTTCATCGCGACGCTATAACTTCGCTCGTTTCAGTCGTTTGTGACACCTCACTTTCAAACTCGGTAAGTAACTAATTTTAAGGCGATCTTTCCAGGAGCGTCGATGGATTATCTCTTGGTTTCTTGTCCAAAGCTAAAAAAAAAAAAGCGATTTATAGGGTCTTGTAAGAGTTTTATTTGTGTCGACATTTCAGTCACGATCGCAAACAAATATTTATTTCCTGTGATACGTCATAGGGCTATCAAGCTTTTAATACAAGTATCTTTCTCTTTTTCGGATCGACAATATAATTCCTGCTCTGATAGTAGATTTGAAAGTATCTTCCGGCAGCACAATGTATAACTTACGAACAATTATGCTGATTCAGATGTGATTCACGTATTCAGAGATCTTCAGACATGCAGAGACCTGTAGTTACGATATTGCAGGGTCGTAACATGGTATATGGGCTCAGGGCTCAAAGCCCAAAATATGACTGGGATCAGGGCTCAGAGGAAAGGGCTCAGGGCTCAGAATAACGGGATCAGGGATCAGAAAGCTTTTGAGCCTGAATCAGGGATCAGATTTATTACACGGTCTAAAAATCTCTTATCACAATATTTTTCCGCATAATAAGGTTTGTGTCCATAGAATTTCCTGTCCGAGGTAAATTTAATACCTATTCTTGCTTCCGGCTGGCGGCTGTTCCTGTCATACGAAGTCCTGTTATTTGACGAAAACACGGTATCATATTCTTAATTTATTAATTGTTTGAGGGCACCGTTCTCAAGTCACTTTTCTCGCTTTGTAACGCAACTCCTCAGTGCCCTGTCAACGCCAAAATGCAGAGAAAGCGATCTATACATATCTTTTTTTTGCGAGAAATGGGGAAAAAGAAAAAGGACAAAAGGAAATCCTGTGACAGAGAAAGGTACGTAAGTACTTCCTTGACCGATTTACTCCTGGTTCTCCTCCTAGGTTCCGATTGCCTAATGGCCTCAAGCCCCGGGCCTCAAGCAAGTCCCAAGGCGACTTTAAATCGAGGTTGGTATTTTTGGATCAGTAACTTAACCCTTAAAAGTACTTAGATAATTAGAATGGACGTCAAGAGTAGAATACAAAAGTACAATGAATTCGCGCGCTTTGTTGCAAAATAAATGCTTTCTCGCAATTTAACAAATCTGCTCTAATTGCACGGAGCTTTAGAGTTATCTCGAACTCTGACGAGAAACCGAGATCGGTTCACCTACCAGTACTAGTATCGGGCCGGGAAAGTAAAGGACTCATTCCATTACTTTATAACTGATAAATGCTTGTGTGATAAATAATCTGAAATAACATTGTAGAATTAGTGAAAATAAGTGGAATACCAAAGACTTACCTCGGTGAAATTAAAAGTAACAAAACCTTTATAGTTTATTTTATTTAGTTTTTTTGAAATAAACGGTAGAATGGGTGAAAGGAACGTTGCAAACTAGGTACAAGTAGCGGAGTCTGCAGGAATTTAATGTATTATAGTACTCAGCATGAAGGGCCACCAGTAAGGGGGCCACTATTTGATTTTTGAGCCGGGGATGGGTTATTTTTTTCATGCAAGATTTTTTCAGACCTCATTCGTGCAGGGGCTATTTTGTTTTGCACAAAATGTACAGACTTTAGTGACAATATTGATCTACAAGAATTTTTTCGGCCCTTTGGGCTATTCGGCCTCGGCTTATGTAATGGTTGGCCCCGAAAGGTATCACTACCTTAGATTTGGAGCCTGAATTTTTTTAGTAGAGTGAGAACACCCGCTCTGAACGAATACACATCGCAGCGGCCCAGCTGCCTTTTAGAATCAATAGAGAGGCTCTACCAATCCTCGTTTATCTTTTATACCGGTCCTCAAAGCCATTACACACAGAGAAAGCTGGGTCCAAAGGCACCGGAATGGCTCGAAAGTCGCACGGCAAGATTACACCTTAAGGAAGATATGGACGAGGAAACGAGGGCGGAGGGAAAGGAGCGACAAAGAACGGCATTGCAGAGCTTTGCGAAAGATTTCGGACGGGGTGTACGACAGCAATGAACGAGAGGGAAGACCAAAGAAAGAGCTGGTGCACTTCCACTTGCTTTGAGTATGTTCAGAAGGAATGCGTCGGCACATGGAGAAGTCGATCTGCTGAAAGAGGTTCAAGGGAGTGAAGGACAAACTACAGTTCAAGACGCAGCCGAAGAATATGAGATTATTTATTCAAAAGGCTACGTAGTTGCTCTCAAGTACAATTACAAGAGGTTTATCATTCCTTTCTTCCTTGCAGTCCTTTTAAAAGATCTCCACCATAACGCTGGGTGACGTATTCCTGGAAGATCACATGGGTTTGAGATGGCTAAAACAGCCAAAAGAAGATCCCCTTGTATTCCAGACAGGGCACCGTGACGTAGAAATTCACCTAAGTGTATCATCGGGAAAGTTCAAATAATAAAAGATGGAAACAACTTCTGTTTGACCTGCCTTGAAGAGCAACGCCTAGTTGCATTGCTCCAGGGGTCAATTGAAACAGATGATTCACCTGCGTCAGGTGGTGACGAAGAGGAAGGGGAGCAACCTCAGGTGGACAACTTTTCAGAGCCAATTAGATTTGAAGTTGGAAGGAGTAGGTCTGGAAGACCTACAACCAGCTATGTCCTTTAACAATCTACAATGGTTATTAAGCCAGGAAAAGCCATTAATGGGCTTGACACAGAAAAGCTGGTAAACTGTAGAACCTGTGACTTGCATCATTTAATTTTTCTACTACACGTAAAGCAGGTGTTTTGCTATTGGTAATTGATCGTGATCCTCACTGTAACACACACAGAGTGAAAGAGGAAATTCACATAAGACTACACTCTAACAACATCAACAGGGATAGCAGAATAGAAAGTCCAGAAGCTTGATTGCCCTTAATCAAGAAACGCAGCAATAGGAGATCCGTGCGACAGCGGACCAGTGAGGCAAAGGCTCATACAAACAACGGAGTAAGAAATGCACCAATCTCAGCGGCTAATAATCGACCAACCAGAGTCATATAAGTTCACGTGTGACCAGTAGACGAAGACTAGCAAGGCAAGGCCATTAAGTGTTGCTTTTCCTAATGAACACTTGAAGTACGCAGTGGAAACGTCGCGATCTACATCATTAAGTGACTGAATCGTGAGACAAACGATTACACTTTATTAACATCAATATTGTAGACCAGTAACACGGCCAACGTGAAATTTTTGGTTGCAAGAGTCTCTTTGGAAATAAAACATCTGTGACCCACACAGATCGGACATTGATTAACTGGACAAGTTATATGGGCTAGCAGATGATCGTACGGGACAGGAATTGGAAAGCTAGAGGAAGACCTTACTTCAGAAGTACCTTACAGTGACGTTAATTGAACCGGGCACCAACCAGCGCTAGCTGTGTTTGCTGTTTGACTAAAAATTTTGAATTCAATGCTTTCTTGTGATTGGCTTATAAACCTCCGGGTGGCCTTGCTTGTATGAGCAACACTGAAAATAAACCTTGTAAATACTACTGATGAACGTTACATCTGAAAAAATCAAGTTTTCGCCGCTAGATCTTTCACGATGTACGATACTTAAAGGGAAGTGGACTACTTTAACTGTATAAATTAACAATAACTAACATCAGGGTCGTAACATGGTATATGGGCTCAGGGCTCAAAGCCCAAAATATGACTGGGATCAGGGCTCAGAGGAAAGGGCTCAGGGCTCAGAATAACGGGATCAGGGATCAGAAAGCTTTTGAGCCTGAATCAGGGATCAGATTTATTACACGGTCTAAAAATCTCTTATCACAATATTTTTCCGCATAATAAGGTTTGTGTCCATAGAATTTCCTGTCCGAGGTAAATTTAATACCTATTCTTGCTTCCGGCTGGCGGCTGTTCCTGTCATACGAAGTCCTGTTATTTGACGAAAACACGGTATCATATTCTTAATTTATTAATTGTTTGAGGGCACCGTAATATGAATCTCAAGTCACTTTTCTCGCTTTGTAACGCAACTCCTCAGTGCGCTGTCAACGCCAGAATGCAGAGAAAGCGATCTATACATATCTTTTTTTTGCGAGAAATGGGGGAAAAGGAAAAGGACAAAAGGAAATCCTGTGACAGAGAAAGGTACGTAAGTACTTCCTTGTGACTGATTTACTCCTGGTTCTCCTCCTAGGTTCCGATTGCCTAATGGCCTCAAGCCCCGGGCCTCAAGCAAGTCCCGAGGCGACTTTAAATCGAGGTTGGTATTTTTGGATCAGTAACTTAACCCTTAAAAGTACTTAGATAATTAGAATGGACGTCAAGAGTAGAATACAAAAGTACAATGAATTCGCGCGCTTTGTTGCAAAATAAATGCTTTCTCGCAATTTAACAAATCTGCTCTAATTGCACGGAGCTTTAGAGTTATCTCGAACTCTGACGAGAAACCGAGATCGGTTCACCTACCAGTACTAGTATCGGGCCGGGAAAGTAAAGGACTCATTCCATTACTTTATAACTGATAAATGCTTGTGTGATAAATAATCTGAAATAACATTGTAGAATTAGTGAAAATAAGTGGAATACCAAAGACTTACCTCGGTGAAATTAAAAGTAACAAAACCTTTATAGTTTATTTTATTTAGTTTTTTTTGAAATAAACGGTAGAATGGGTGAAAGGAACGTTGCAAACTAGGTACAAGTAGCGGAGTCTGCAGGAATTTAATGTATTATAGTACTCAGCATGAAGGGCCACCAGTAAGGGGGCCACTATTTGATTTTTGAGCCGGGGATGGGTTATTTTTTTCATGCAAGATTTTTTCAGACCTCATTCGTGCAGGGGCTATTTTGTTTTGCACAAAATGTACAGACTTTAGTGACAATATTGATCTACAAGAATTTTTTCGGCCCTTTGGGCTATTCGGCCTCGGCTTATGTAATGGTTGGCCCCGAAAGGTATCACTACCTTAGATTTGGAGCCTGAATTTTTTTAGTAGAGTGAGAACACCCGCTCTGAACGAATACACATCGCAGCGGCCCAGCTGCCTTTTAGAATCAATAGAGAGGCTCTACCAATCCTCGTTTATCTTTTATACCGGTCCTCAAAGCCATTACACACAGAGAAAGCTGGGTCCAAAGGCACCGGAATGGCTCGAAAGTCGCACGGCAAGATTACACCTTAAGGAAGATATGGACGAGGAAACGAGGGCGGAGGGAAAGGAGCGACAAAGAACGGCATTGCAGAGCTTTGCGAAAGATTTCGGACGGGGTGTACGACAGCAACGAACGAGAGGGAAGACCAAAGAAAGAGCTGGTGCACTTCCACTTGCTTTGAGTATGTTCAGAAGGAATGCGTCGGCACATGGAGAAGTCGATCTGCTGAAAGAGGTTCAAGGGAGTGAAGGACAAACTACAGTTCAAGACGCAGCCGAAGAATATGAGATTATTTATTCAAAAGGCTACGTAGTTGCTCTCAAGTACAATTACAAGAGGTTTATCATTCCTTTCTTCCTTGCAGTCCTTTTAAAAGATCTCCACCATAACGCTGGGTGACGTATTCCTGGAAGATCACATGGGTTTGAGATGGCTAAAACAGCCAAAAGAAGATCCCCTTGTATTCCAGACAGGGCACCGTGACGTAGAGATTCACCTAAGTGTATCATCGGGAAAGTTCAAATAATAAAAGATGGAAACAACTTCTGTTTGACCTGCCTTGAAGAGCAACGCCTAGTTGCATTGCTCCAGGGGTCAATTGAAACAGATGATTCACCTGCGTCAGGTGGTGACGAAGAGGAAGGGGAGCAACCTCAGGTGGACAACTTTTCAGAGCCAATTAGATTTGAAGTTGGAAGGAGTAGGTCTGGAAGACCTACAACCAGCTATGTCCTTTAACAATCTACAATGGTTATTAAGCCAGGAAAAGCCATTAATGGGCTTGACACAGAAAAGCTGGTAAACTGTAGAACCTGTGACTTGCATCATTTAATTTTTCTACTACACGTAAAGCAGGTATTTTGCTATTGGTAATTGATCGTGATCCTCACTGTAACACACACAGAGTGAAAGAAGAAATTCACATAAGACTACACTCTAACAACATCAACAGGGATAGCAGAATAGAAAGTCCAGAAGCTTGGTTGCCCTTAATCAAGAAACGCAGCAATAGGAGATCCGTGCGACAGCGGACCAGTGAGGCAAAGGCTCATACAAACAACGGAGTAAGAAATGCACCAATCTCAGCGGCTAATAATCGACCAACCAGAGTCATATAAGTTCACGTGTGACCAGTAGACGAAGACTAGCAAGGCAAGGCCATTAAGTGTTGCTTTTCCTAATGAACACTTGAAGTACGCAGTGGAAACGTCGCGATCTACATCATTAAGTGACTGAATCGTGAGACAAACGATTACACTTTATTAACATCAATATTGTAGACCAGTAACGCGGCCAACGTGAAATTTTTGGTTGCAAGAGTCTCTTTGGAAATAAAACATCTGTGACCCACACAGATCGGACCTTGATTAACTGGACAAGTTATCTGGGCAAGCAGATGTTCGTACGGGACAGGAATTGGAAAGCTAGGGGAAGATCTTAGTTCAGAAGTACCTTACAGTGACGTTAATTGAACCGGGCACCAACCAGCGCTAGCTGTGTTTGCTGTTTGACTAAAAATTTTGAATTCAATGCTTTCTTGTGATTGGCTTATAAACCTCCGGGTGGCCTTGATTGTATGAGCAACACTGAAAATAAACCTTGTAAATACTACTGATGAACGTTACATCTGAAAAAATCAAGTTTTCGCCGCTAGATCTTTCACGATGTACGATACTTAAAGGGAAGTGGACTACTTTTACTGTATAAATTAACAATAACTAACATTGTGTATCTTACTAAAGCTCCCTTTCAAGAAAATCAGATTTTATCATCTGTTTAGTATCGCCAAACATTATATTTAAAGTGTTTTAAATAGAATAATGCACAAAAAGAGGTTGACTCATATTGATCTTTAAAGCTCTGATAGAACCTACAACTTGCAGTAAAAATTAAATCAATGTTTTTCTCATCAGCTTATTTGAGCATGTTCTATATTCTATCTTTGGAGATAAACAAAGTTGTCTAAGTTTTGTGCAAAAACATGGGTGGGATCAATTTTTTTATCAGGGCTCAGGGATCAAAATTTTGGGGAAAATGGGGCTCAGGGATCAAAGTAACGGCAAGAAAATAGGGATCAATGGGTGTCGGATATACCATGTTACGACCCTGATATTGTACTCCGCCAGATAAGCTGAGATGTTTATTTACAGACTGTTTCAAAACCAAAACTGTCAGTAAAGGGCGCACTTTTGTTTGATTCTTGCTGTCACATACGTTGAGTTGGTTTCCAAGGCCTTCGGGGAATCAAGTTGAAAGTCAACGTTCGATGATATCTGATAAAAGACAATTTTTAGCTAGTGTACTACAAATTATGAAGACATTGCGCGCATTGAATAGCAGCATAAGGCTATGTTCACAGTACATACCGGATTGTAATTTATAGCTCTTGCCGGTTGCGCCGACACGAAAACCATACAGGATAAGGCTTTTGTTCACTCATAAGAACGGTGATTTCAAAAGGCGTGATTTTTGTCACGGAGCAAAGCTGCGCCGGAACTTGAAATGGAAAACGCCTGTCAGGCCTCTGCCACTCCGTCGAAGTGTGAACGTATTCGGACCGTAGCGGAGGGATAGGACTGGAATAAACTGTCTTTTCACCAAACCCTCTCGGCCATCCGCTCCGGCACGATGTGCCAGTTGTTGCTGTTTTCTACCGTTACCGTTCATGTTGTACCGGATAGGCTTTCATGGCATGTCGGCTCAAAAGCTATCCACTATAGTGTGAGCATAGGCAAGATAAGTTACTCCTCGTTACCGGGATAAGAAACCGGAAGTTTTTTAAATGTAAGATCGCAGAGAAAAGTTACAAAATTCGTCCTTTTTGCACGAGACTACCAGTTACGGTTTTTTCTCTCATACTGCGCAGTGTGCCAAAACTGACCGAATCCTTCTTTACGATCTACAAACATCATTATTTCAATCAAGGAACATAAGATGAGAACATATCTATAAATAGTGCGAAAGGAGAGTGCTTCAAAATGAGGCCAATACTACAGTATTTGTATTATGTTATTTGGAGATTGCACCCGTCCGCATTTATTGCTTATTACTATGTTAATATTAGTAATACAATAATATTTATTGATTTGTATTGCTCAAAAATATCAATCTAGGGAAAGAACTTTTCATCTGGGCATTACATTGACTCACAAAATCCTAAAATCCTAGTACATATTCCAATTTAAAAAATTCTAAAAACAATGACTAATTAATCCTTAAAGTCTTATTAACAGATCGCACCTAATAATTTGTTAAAAATAGTAAGTCTAAAATTCTAAAAACAATGACTAATCATTCTTTAAAATCCTATTTACAAATCCTTCTTTATAAAAAGAATAAAAACAATAAATTAGCTGGGAAACACCTACTGAAATAAATGAGTTTTAAGAGCCTTCTTGAAAGCATTAACTGAAGATATATTTCTAATAAAAAGGGGACGATTGTTCCATAATTTAAATATAAAAAGATCGATCACCAAGCGTGGAAAGAGAACTTGCATGATGGAATGTTAAGAAGTTCACTCGCCGTCATTTTATCTAAGATAGTACCTACCACCAGTGTCTTTCAGAGATACAAGTTCGGAAATGTAAGTCGGAGCGAGTTTATGAATGGTCTTAAAAATTAACAGTAATCTTTTCAAAACTATTCGACTTGCTACGGGTTACTAGTGTAGGGCTCTTAGCAATGGTGTAATATGACAAAATTTACTTTCTTGGAATACAGTGAGGCGTGCAGCAGAGTTCTGGACTCTTTGCACCTTCTGAATCTGATACGCCGGTAAGCCATATAACAGGCTATTACAATAGTCAAGGCGGCTAGAAAAAAAAGCATGGTATGTGTCACGGCGAATGCTGAGATCAACGGTATCGAAAGCAGCACTGAAATCAAGCAAAACAAGGATAGTAACCTGCTGCTTGTTCATCATGATATTCAACAGAATATCGATCGTTCGTTACTTTCAGAAGTGTTGTGTCCGTGCTATGATTTCTTCTATAAGCAGACTGTGCAACTGGGTATAAGTTATTACGAACCAGGTGATCATGAATCTGATTAAAAGCAGCCCTTTCAATGAGTTTAGACACAAAAGACAAGTTGCTCACGAGACGGAATTTCTTTAAAGATGACATCGAGACCGGATTTCTTTAACAGCGGAAAAACTAAAGCCTCTTTCCAAATTTCAGGAAAACGCCCGGACTGCAAAGAGTTGTAAACGATTTTTGTGAGAACTGGGAGGAGATCCTCACATTTGTGTTATGTTATGTTCAATAGCGCTACGCACGATTTACTATTAACAGTACCACTACGCATCATATTAAAAAATATATTTAAAAAATACTAGATCGAAAGTAATAAAAAAATTCGGTATCTGTTTTCAAATATATGGGGGTTTTTTATTGAAAGGGCCAACAACAACAACAACAACAACACTTTATTTCACCCCATAATATACAAGAAATAAAAATTTATAACAATAGTACAGAGGATGATAGGGGCGCCGGCTGCCCGAAATAACCTAAGAGTTAAAAATGCCAGGCAGCCAGTTAAAAGAAAAGATGTTTAAATGTTTAGGTCAGGGACACACCTGAAGAAGACGTAAACAATATGAGCTTCGAAAGAGTTCATCGAATTTCTAACACCCGAGCTGTTAATCAAACCAACAAATCTAAGAGTCCGCGCCCAATAATCGCCAAAGCCAGCTTTTATCAAGACAAGGAGCAAATTTTTTCATACGCTAGAAGCTTACCAAAAGACTCAAAGATCGGTGTTGCCAGTGACTTCCCAAAAGAAATTGCCGATATGCACAAGAAACTTTACCCAATCTTGAAAGCCGCTAAAGCCCAGAAGAAAAAAGCTTTCTTTAATGTCGACAAACTTATTATTGATGGGCAAGTTTATCGTGGAAAAGAAACTAAAGATCTTCCTCTGTACGGTAAAGTTATGGTACATGATTAGTCAGTTGTTGTAAATAGTTGATAGTTGTAAATAGTTGATTCCTTTCGCGCTCCCAAGAGTTGCTTCGCTCATAGCGCCTACTTATTTAGCATTAAACTGTTCATAGGGAACCCGTTTAGGTGTAAGAAGAGGTTTCCCTACTTTGAGCAATTTGTGCTCTAGTAACTCTGCGTTTTGTGTCTTAGCGTTTCTGTATAGCCGTTTCTATTTACATGTTTAGAATCCATTTTGATATACTTAGATTTATCTTCCTACAGCTTAGTCTTGTACACCTTCAGCTTGCGTTAAGGATGATTACTAATGTTTATTATTTAATTTACATTAAGTGAGTACACTTTCAATTAAAAATTGCTCACATTCGAAAAGTTTTTCAATATCTTCCTCAACGAAACCGATAGAATATTCTATGCTGCTAATTCACAGCTGCTCCGTTTAGACTCTCCTTTTGTTCTTTAAACGTAAGAGGTTTAAATCAAGCTAGAAAGAGACGGCGGGTGTTTAGATGGCTCCACAATCAAAAATTCGACGTTGTTTATTTACAAGAAACTTACTCTTCCAAAAATGTCGAAGAAATATGGAAAGCAGAATGGGGAGGGAAAATTTATTACAGTCATGGAACAACACATTCAAAAGGTGTGATGATATTATTTAAACCAAGTCTGGATTTCGAAACAGAAAGCATCTTCGCTGATAAGAATGGACGATACTTGCTATTAAAAGCCAACGTGCTAGAATCTTCCTTCTTGTTTAGCAACATTTACGCGCCAAATGACTCTACCGCCCAGATAGCTTTCTTTCGCAATCTTGATAACATTCTCCTACCATTTGCAGATGCACAAATCATCTTGGGAGGTGACATGAATTGCCCATTAACACCTACAGATAAAATGGGTGGTGCTACTGTTCAGAAAAAACAAAAAGTCATTGACGAGATTGAAGGCTTAACCCGGCGTTTTAAACTTCATGACATTTGGAGAAATCAACATACCAACAAATTAAAACACAATTTACATGGCGTAACAATTCCTTGAAAGTGCAATGCCGCTTAGATTATTGGCTTGTGTCGAAAGAATTGTTGATGTCTGTCATTGATACTAACATCACCAATCCCACAATATCTGATCATAGCGCTATCACTTTCACTCTTCAATCGAAAGAATACGCTAAACGTGGACCTGGGTTTTGGAAAATTAATAACGCTTTGCTGAAAGATGCAAATTTCATTGACGAGCTCGTAAGCAAAATACCCGAATACAAAAGCAAACACTGTTACCTTACTAATGAAGGCCTGTACTGGGACACGCTCAAGATGGAGATTAGAGGTTTCTGTGTACAATACTCAAAAAGGAAAAACAGAATAAAAAGAAATAAGGAACGAGACCTTCAGAAAGAAATTGATCACCTAATGGCCTTGCTGCAATCCAACAGATCGAAAGAAAATATCACTAAACTCTACCAATTAAGAGCTCAACTCAATCAGATTGCTGAATATAAAACCAAGGGTGCAATGATTAGAAGTAGGATACGCTGGCACGAAAAAGGAGAAAAGAATACTAAATACTTCTTAAATCTTGAGAAAAGGAGGTTTGCAAAAACTCATATAACTAGGCTTAAAACAAGTACTGGCTCGGAAACTTCTTGCGAAAAAGAGATTTTGGAAATGCAGAGAGCATTTTATGAAAATTTATATACGAGCGCTCCCTGTGATATTATTGCACGCGATGCTTTCCTGGGAGACCCTAACCTCGTCAAACTCGACGAAAACGAGCTAAATGAACTTGAACAGCCTTTGTCGAAAACCGAGTGTTTCACCGTTCTTAAACAGTGTGCTAAAAACAAATGTCCGGACAGCGACGGTCTCTCAGTTGAGTTCTATTTGCACTTCTGGCATCTACTTGGTGATGAGATGGTCCAAAGCTTTAACTATGCTCATAAAGTAGAACAACTCAACATAACACAAAGACAAGGTATAATAAAGGTCATACCGAAAAAACGCAAGAACAGGTTGTATTTGGAACATTGGAGACCGCTAACGTTACTTAACGTCGACTATAAAATAGCAACCAAATCTATAGCCCATAGAATCGCTAAAGTCCTCCCCAAATTAATCAACGACGACCAAACTGGCTATGTCAAGGGCCGCTATATAGGACAGAACATTAGACTCATTAACGATATCATGAAGATAACTGAGCTAGAAAACATTCCCGGCATGGCGATTTTTGTGGACTTTAAAAAAGCTTTTGACACCGTCGACTGGAACTTCCTTTTTAAGACCTTGGAGGCATTAAATTTCAGCCCTCAGTTACTACAGTGGATCCGAACCTTTTACACTGACTGTTCTAGCTGTGTAGTAAATAATGGTTACGCCTCTGTCTTCTTTAAACTACAAAGAGGTGTTCGCCAAGGGTGCCCTCTTTCCGGCTCCCTATTTGTGCTGTGCGCTGAAATTCTTGCTAATGCAATAAGGTCTAATGCAAATATTCAAGGAATCAACATATATGGAAAGGAATTCAAAATTTCACAATACGCAGAAGATACCACTGTTTTTGTCTCTGATATAACATCTGCCCAAAACCTCTTCCAACTGCTCCACGCTTTTCAAAAATGCTCTGGTCTTGAAGTAAACAGAAGCAAGACAGAGGGCTTGTGGCTAGGCGCGAACAAAAACAACCCGGAAGAACCTCTTGATATTGCATGGCCAAAAGATCCTGTATTTGCACTTGGTATTCACTTCTCTTATGATGACGAAGCTGCTTTCAAAAGGAACTTTGAACAGAAACTGTCCTCGATGGCTTCTGCTTGCTAAACTTGTGGTACCCTAGGAACTTAACTTTACATGGTCGAATTGTCATTTTAAAAGCATTAGCCCTCTCCAAACTTATTTATAACACTGCTGTCCTCACTGTCACCCCCACATTTATTCAAAAAGTTAATAAAGCTATTACTCAATTCGTCTGGCAAAAGAAAAAACCAAAAATAAAACAATCCTGATTGGCCCTAAAGAAAAAGGTGGTCTCTCATTGCCTGATTTTGACATAATTAACAATGCTCTCAAAGCAACTTGGATCAGAAGACTAGACAGCTGTCATCCCACCGCGAGTTGGACTCACCTTCCTGTTTCCCTGCTAGAGCGAGTTGGTGGTCTCTTTCTCCTTAAATGTAACTTTGAACTTAAACATCTCAACATACACATTCCATTGATCTTTTACGAGAAAGCCTTGTTGGCCTGGCAATCCATAAATTCGTTCACTCCCTCCTCAAAAGAAGAAATACTGAATGAAATCTTATGGAACAACCGCTTCATTAGGATCAACAATTATTCAGTATACTATAAAGCATGGCATGTAGCGGGTGTTGAAAAAATTGGAGATCAGAAATGGAGAATGGATAGCAGAGCTTAAGCGCGGAGAATGGATACCGGTACATAAGAAGGATGACAAACAAAGGGATATAAACTATAGACCTATCACGGTGTTGCCATGCGTGAATAAAGTCTATGAAGTATTGCTGGGCCAACAAGTCAGTAAGTTTATGGATGATAGACTCAGTGATGCTATCACTGCCTATCGTGCAAAGAATAGCTGTGAGACCACGCTGATTAGGCTGACCGAAACATGGAGAGCTGAACTAGACAGCAAGAAAATTGTCGGCATATTGTCTTCGGATATGAGCAAGGCTTTTGACTCTCTGAGCCCTCAGTTGCTCATAAATAAACTGCAAGCCTACAATTTCTCCGATAAAGCCATACAGCTCATACGATCATATTTTCAGGGAAGAAAGAACAGAGTAAGGATAGGTTCTGTAACAAGTGACTGGGTTGTGGTGAAGAGAGGATGTCCACAGGGAAGTACGTTTGGACCACTCATGTGGAATATTTTCCAGAACGATATGCCTAGCATAATATCAGATGCCAATGTCTCGATGTATGCGGATGACCATCAGGTCTTTGTAGCAAACGAAACAACCAAAAGCGTGGAGAAGATACTGGTGGATAATGGAGAGAGGATGACTAAATGGTATCAAGATAATCTTTTAAAAGTCAATTGCGATAAATATCAAGCCATGGTTTTGGGAAATCCAAAAGGAGAAAGGAACGTTGATCTGGATATAAGTGGCGAAAAAGTCGAACAGTCACAATCCATCAAGATCCTAGGTGTAAACCTAGATGAAAACCTAAACTTTAGAGATCATATACGTAGTGTGTGTAAGAAAGTTGGCGGGATGATCGGAATATTAAGAAGGCTTAAAAATCTTATGCCAGTAAATGCCAAGTTACTTTTGTACAAATCAGCTATTATGCCACACCTTACTTATTGCCACCTAGTGTGGCATTTTTGCACGGCATCTGATAGTCGTAAATTGGAGCGTCTACAAGAAAGAGCCTTAAGATTAGTGTATAATACTACTACCGAAAGTTATGACACCTTGCTGAAAAGAGCTAAGTTGACTACTTTACAAGTAGTCAGGATATACTCATTTTGATGTTTAAAGTAAAAAACAAATTAACAGTGAACCAAATTGCGGATATTTTTAATATCAACGAGGAGAATATTAATAGTAAGAGATATAACCTAAGAAATGCAGATTTTGTCTTACCTCGGTTTAAAACTGTTACTTATGGAAAACATTCTCTCAGATTTCTCGGACCACAATTATGGTCTAAACTAAGCAAGGAGGAGAGAAATATTGCAACTTTGGCAACTTTTAGGACAATGATACGTAAGAAGGATGTAACATCATTTCTTGAGGGATGTGGGAGTGAATGCCGCTTATGCTTAGATTAAGAGGACGTACGCATATTTACTTATTCATTTTAGTGTCCGAGCTAATATACGCATTTAGTTTTTATATTGTAAATTTTCGAACTTAGCTTCGAAGTGTTAAATCTAGAACTTAGTTTTTAGAGTGTAAAAGAGCACTTAGCTTGAATAGTGTCAATTTCCGGCTTTTATAGTACTTAATTAGTTTCTATTAATGATGTAATTTAGTTTTAAAGGTGTCCCCAATTAGTGCCAATAGGCACTAGAACGACAAGACACTTTAATAAAGGTTATGTATGTATGTATGTATGTATGCAAAGCAATTCCTCCTAACTGGATCAAAATAATGAAAGGTAAATTACAACCGCCTTCGAATAAATCCATAAGTATGGATAGAATTCCCGTTGAGAAGCTTTCTTCTAAACTTGCTACCAACTTTTTTGTTGAAAAGAAATTTGTTCCTGCCACCGCCAAAAAAAGACTCAGAAAAGCTAGTTTAAACGAACAGCAAATTTCTCAAATTCACAAGATGCCTTTCAGTGCTACGAAAGACATACAACTCTCAATGTTTCAGTTCAAGATCTTACACCACATCTTACCCACCAACGCTACATTATATAAATTCGGAATTAAGGAACATGACCGCTGTCATTTATGCGCTGAAAAGCAAACAATCACACACCTATTTGTGACTTGCCCCAATGCTCAGCTGTTTTGGACACATTTTTCAGTTTGGTGGCGCGAAAAAAACAACATTGAGATCTCGCTTTCTGAAGCACAAACACTTTATGGCATTACAGACACCGTGCCTCAGTGTCTTGGTTTAAACCTCTGCTTGATAATTGCAAAATACTATATTTACACCGCGTCTAAAAATGAGGAAGATTATTTTTTCGACGCTTTTTTGTCTATCCTTAAAAATAAAATACAAATTGAAACTAGCAAAGCTAAGGTGCAAGTCAAGCTGTAAAAATAATTTTCTTGATTCTGGCTAATTTCCCTTGTTTTTTGGCTTTTTTGTTTTGTTTGTTTGTTTGTTATTAATTTATTTATTTATCTATTTTTTTGTCGTTTTTAGCGTATTTACTCTTCGTTAATAGATAGTAAGTTAGTAATTAGTTGTATTAGAATTCTGTTTTCATTATTTTGTAACAGACTCCGACTCATCGGCTCCTGTTTTGTAAGCATTATCTTGTAAGTTTATATTATGTAAGTAAGTAGTATTTAACTTAGCAAGTTATATGTAAGTAGGTATTAAAGCTCTATGTAAGTAAGTGAGTACTAGGTAAGTAAGTCAGCATTATGTTTGTAAAAACAATAAAGTATTGTATAATTAAAAAAAAAACAAAAACAAAACAAAACAAAACAAAACAAAGAAAACAGAGAAACACACACAAATAGTTAAGTAAACTACCAGTATATAAAGAGACTAAAATTCATACATTGCAAAACAGTATTATTTCCATTTTCAAGTTACCCAGACAATGTACAGATGTCTAGTAATCTTTGATATAAAAGTGCTGTTTCATTTTCTTTTTAAACAAAGACAATGAAGATAATTTGATATCTTCATCAATGGAATTCCATACTGATGGACCTTGAAATCTGATATTGAATATACCATAATTTGTTCTTGCTTTTGGAAGATAATAAGACTGTTTTGCACCAAGCCTTGTATTATAGGTATGAATTTGCGAAATTTTAGTGAAAAAAGAATTAAAGACCGATGGCAATAATTGATTATGATATTTATACATAAAGATTGCTAAATGAAAAGTTACTGGGTCCAGGAATTTTATAATTTCAAGAGATTTAAACAAAGGACTAGAGTGCTCATCGAATCTAGAAAAGGTAATTAATCGCATTGCTCTTTTTTGTAAAATGAAAATTGGTTGAAGAGTGGTCTTGTAGGTATTTCCCCAGATAATTATTCCATAGGTCAAAAAAGGATATATAAGTGCATAATATAAGCTTAATAAAATATCTAGGCCAACATAATAACGAAGTTTAGAGAGGATACCAATGCTTCTTCTAATTTTCTTAACAATGCAAAGTCTTGAACTATCAACCCTTCAGAAGTAGTATTGTTTTGCAAAAGTTTTTTAAAGCACGAACCCTACTGCGAACCCTATTGCGCGGGTATATGCAGGAAACAGTCCTGAACAGTGGTTAGCAACTGCGTTCCAGGGTCTTCTTCTACTCGTCTCCTGCAGCCAGAGAGGGAGGAGTAGTAGAGCATCCTGGGAACGAGGTTTCCCTGGATGATTTCTTGTAGCATGATCTCGACACCGAAATTACTCTTATCGTTATTTCTTACTTGGCCTCAAAATGACGATTCTCGCAATTTTGAGGGCCCTGACCCACACCCCAACCCATACCCTAGCCCTAAACCTAAACGTAAGCCTAGCCCTAACCCTAACACTAACACTACAAGAAGATATCATTCTTATCTCTATGGGTAAGGATATAGAATCTATGCCATTGATTTATCAAGAGTCATTCCTTTCCTCTTTCCCTTCATGTGTGCATGACCTAACGTGTCAAAGTCTTTTATTGGCTAGCCTTTTAGTGCATCTTTCTTTGGGAAAAAAAAATGCTCCAAATTAGCATACACTTACCTTGACCTTTCCGATTTTCAAGACAGACTAAAGCCAAGTTCCGAACTTTCGAGAGGGACTTGACCCGAGTCATTTGTCTGTGCCCCAAAGTAATGATAATCATAATTTTGAGGCCAAATAAGAGATAACGATAATCATAAGAAGGATGGCGTGCTAAGCGACTTTTTTTCTTTATTTTAGTACCACGACGAACAAGCAAACTACCATGCCAGTCCAACTACTTTGTTGGAAGGGATGCTGTCGTAGATCAGATCAAGGAAAAGTTGACAACAAATTCATCGCGCATGATTATTATCGTCGCTTTACCTGGCATGGGCAAGACAGAGGTTGCAACATGTGTAGGACACTTGTTACAAAAAGAACACCGGCCTGTTGTGTACGTCAAGGAGAAAAAACTCATGGAGATCTGCCAAGAAATTCTCTATCAGGTAGATCATCGACACTGGACATTAAACGAAGATGTGATTTCCCACTGCAAGCGAAAGCTATCGGAGCTCGAAGACGACACGATAGTCATTCTTGACAACACAGAAGATGCACAAAAAGAAAAAGAGTTCTATGACTTTTTTGAACACATGGTGAAGTCGGCGCCGAGGATTCGAACAATCATAACAACACAGTGTGACATCATTATCAACAGCCTCATTTCAGCCAGCATTCATAAGATTCGCCTCGATCCTTTAGATTCTTCCTCATCTTCTAAACTATTGATGCAAATAGCACCAGGAATTTCAAAAGCTATTGCTGAAGAGATTGGCAAGTTGTGCGACGGGATACCCTTATTTCTTAGCTGCAGTGGTTCAATGATGGCTGATGGCTTCTGCCCCGAAGTTTTTGCCCGAGAGCTGAGAAAAAACCCCGTGAGAGTTATACGCGATTGCGAACATCTAAACCTGATTTATACCAACATTGACCGCTTTTTACGTCTTTTGCCTAAACAGGTGTTGAGGAATCTAGTCCGCCTTTCCGTATTCCCAAAGAGTTTTTCTGTGAAAGACATCCAGTTTTTGTTTGAGGATGATTTTGAAGAGGAAACTGTGAAGACAAAAATGTTTCAGTACTGTTTGCTTGAAAAGTTGAATGATGGGAAAATTTTTACTATTCATCCACTCGTTAAGACCTATTGCAAAGCGGAAAGAGAAACCTTGGGCATGGTTAATGAAGGGCGCTCCGCAGAGACGGCTTTCAATCATCACTACCTCAAGATTCTGCAAGATCTTCACAATCTGTTTCTTACAAAAGATTCTTCTTTAGAGGCCATTCAAAGGTTCAGGGAAGACAAACAAAATATCATGGAAGCATTTGAGAACTGTCTATGTGACTCTAGTGAGCCTAAAGAAAAACTTTTTGCTGTTGATGTTGCTAATGAAGTCGTGGACTTCTTAGCTAAAGTGTTATCACCACCTATGGAATGTACCCTTTTGTACCAAAAGTGCTGTGAGATCGCTAGAGACTCGGTAGGTGACGGCAAGAGACTTGCATACAGCTTAAATTCCCTTGGTTTTCGTTGTCTAGATGACGCAGATCACTGCAAAGGGGACGGTGCAGGGCATGCTTGTAAGAAGTTTGAAGAAGCTTGCTCAATATTCAGAGGATTGTCAAAAGAGTCTCAGAAATGCGAGAAATACGCTCACGTCACCACCAAACATGGGTTATGTGTCTTACTCCAGGTGAGAGAGTTTTTTTTTTTGTTTGTCCTTCTGCTTCCGGTGGATTGCATTTTTCATGAGACATTATGCGCTTGTGTTAAGCCGGCAGGATTAGAGACCGAGTGTAACCGGTGGTTTCCCCGCGAAATGACGTCTGAGAAACGAGTGCAGAAATTCCATACTGATGACGCGTCACTACCAAGATATGGGTAGTGCTTCTGATTGCACCGTAATTTTTAGGGAGTTATTATAACTCCAAAAATGGAGTAAAAATTTTAGGTACAGGATAACCCCTTTTTTGGGGTTATTTTAACTCCTAATTTAACTCCGAATTTGGGGTCATTTTTACTCTTGAAAAAGAGTTCTTTTTACTCCCAGTCTTGGAGTTAAAACTACTCCGAAATGGGGTTACTTGTACTCCTTACAGGGGTTGTTTTTACTCTTTTTGGAGTTAATTTAACTCTGAAAGTGGAGTAAAAATTTTAGGTACAGGATAACTCCTTTTTTGGGGTTATTTTAACTCCTCAATATCTGGGGTCACTTTTACTCCTGAAAAAGAGTTCTTTAAACTCCTTTTTGGAGTTAAAATAACTCCACGAAAAATAACTCCACTGTAAGGAGTTAAATTAGCCCCACTAGAGGAGTTATTATAACTCCCTGAAAATTACAGTGTGCATGAACCAAATTTTCAGCCAACAAGAAACACTACTCAGATCTGTATAGTGACGCGTCATGAGAATGGAATTTTTTCGCTCGTTTCTAAGACGTCAGTTCGCGAGGAAACCAGTGGTGGCGTCGCGAATTGAAATGTCGGCTTTTTCCTGAGGCTACAGAGAAAATGCTGTGAAGTATTAGACGGATACCGTATGTTTTTTTTCGTGGTGGAGCCGCCAAAAGTTGAAAATATATACGATTGGCCTGGTAAAAGATGATTGCATAAAATTACTTTCGCTGGACTAATTTCTGCATTTGGCCTAAGCTCACTACCTATTTCGAGTTTCGAGCAAACACGCGAGGGAGCTGCAGTAGGTAAAGCCGCGAGCGTCTCCTTCACTCTTGTGTCTCCTCTCTCTAGCCCGTGCCAGGCTGTCAGAGCGAAAATAAGACTCGCGTGAACTGACTGAAAGTGGTGGTAGCGTCTTAACTCTGTCCAGCTCCCGCGCGTTTTTCCGCATCAGTTTATAATAATGATAATAATAATAATAATAATAATGATGGTTTATTAAAATACACATGGAGGCATAAAAGCTATGAATTACAATGTGCTTACATAAGTTACAACTAAAAATGAAAAAACCATTGGTTTCAGAGGGACTGGGGTTACAGGCTATTTATAAATTATTTACAATTCAGATATAGATAAAGGACAATACTAGAGATAACTAGACTCGTAATATTAGTTAATTTTCGCCATTGCTGGGAAAAAACTAGAGCCGAAACGTTTTGTTCTATACTGGAAGAGGCTAGAACTGCTACTGTTCCTAAGATGATAGGAGTGGCATTCGGATCGCACGGGAGGGAGAAGGCGCTGCAGCTGGCCATCCGGGTTATTTTTGATATTAAGACACAGGTGGGCGCGTCTATACTCTAAACTGGTAATGTTGCTTGTGCAAGAGCCTGTTGATAATGGAGGTCAGGGTATAGGATTCGCAGGGCCCTCTTCTGGATAGCTTCAAGCTGGTCAATGAGGAAGCGAGGAAGGCAAGTAGCCCAGACAACAGAAGAGTATTCAAGGACAGAGCGAACCAGGGCGCTATAGATGGTGACAAGGTCCACTGGAGGGACCCCAGCGCGCTTCAAGACCCTGAGAATGTGCAGTCGCTTAGACGTCTTGGAAACGACGTCGTTGGTGTTATCGTTCCACTTTAGGGTGTCACACAGGGTCAGACCAAGTACTTTGTAACATGACACTGCCTCTAGAGGTAAATTATTGATGGAGAGCATGGGAGAGACAGGCTTGGTTTTGAGTGGACAAATTGTCATGATCTTGCATTTTTTAGGGTTGAGGTTCATGTTGTTCTGCTGGGCCCATTGCGAAATGCAGTTGATGTCGTTCTGCAGAGATGACGATTACTATTTTGGAACTCAGAGCAGGCTACCTTTAGTATGCAGCCGTTCGCGCAGCAAACTTTGCCTTAGTACTTTTATAGCAGCAGCAACAACAACAACTTTATTTGTACCCAACAGTATAAAATTATGATTAACAAAATATATTAACAAAAATATAGAGGAGTTCGGGATGCCCAAAATAACCATAGGAGCCAGAGAAAAAGCCATACTTAGGTGATTTATCTATAGCTATTTGGGTCAGATACCGCAACTGATCAGCTCTAGTAATACAGTATATGGCATTTACTCATATTAATTTTGTTGCTTTTCTCTTTAAGGGAGATGTAGAAGGAGGAAGGAAATCAATCCTCGAGGGAATCAAAATAAGAGAAGAGTTGGGTGTTCAACTGTATGTCGCTGCAGGAAACTGTGATCTTGGACGTGAGAAACTAAATAATCGCTTGACACGTCTATATAAACATCAGTTACTGTACTTGCTGATACAAGCGACGCGACTCTTGTTAAGCTCCCCAAATGCGGCGCTTATTCGAGTAAATATGGTAATTAGTAGAATCATAGATCGTGAATCGAAGGTCTCGGCGGTAAGACTGCACAGAGGAAAAAACGACAAGAGTGCTGGAATGTAGTTACCCGTATTCCTTATTTATTTTCGATCGCCTAAGCATGTCAATAAAACACGAGGCTCATTATGGGCGTTTAACCTATAGCTGAGAGTTGTTCAAAATTTCAACTGCCTGCTGAGGTGAATGGGTACGGTGATGCCTTGTTTAGGTGTAGCAAAGACATCGTGAAAAATGTTAGTGATACTTTCGAAGATTCGAGCTGCCCAATACAGTCTCCATTTATACAGTCAAACATGGAAGTAAAAGTATGAGCTCATTCAGGATAAGATACTGAACAAATTATTAGATCTTCAGACGATTATGGAAATAATGCAAGTATTACAGTCACAAAATCTGACAATGAACATACATACCGTAGTCTTGTTACCGGTATATATGCCAGGATAATCAGTCGGTTAAGTTAACTGTATTAACTCCGTATTATTTCATTGCCCTGTTGTACTTTTTTACAATCTCTTTTAGCCCTGTAATAATTTAACAATTAATTTTGCTTCACTCTGTTAATGTCTATTGTTAAAGTGTTTTTTTTTTCTGTAGTATTGTAAATGTAATTATTTAATGTGATTATCAATAAATAATTATGTTGAAAAAAAAAGGATAATCAGTCGGTCAATGGAAATTCAGATCTCAGGAAAATGACCTATAGTAATATAAAGTAAATCATCATACTGATAAGCAGGTATTTTTGAATAATTTTTAATTTCTTTATAGATTCTTACCGACATTGCCGTGACTACAAGAAAGCTCTGGAAATTTGGCAAACAAAGACGCTACCGGTTTACATAGAGCAGCTAGGTAAGGTTCATCCCTGGACGGCTTCAGTCATTCAGCACATCGCATCCATGTACTTGGAGCTTGCACGAAAGGATCCAGCGCAGTACGCTGAGTCCGCCGAGACTTGCACCAGACGAGCTTTAGAACTGAGGTGGAAGCTGTTAGGTGTGCATCAAGACACGGCTCGTTCGCACACTCAGCTAAGTGAAGTTCTTTGTATACAAGGGAAATTTGAAATGGCCTTAAAAGAACTTGAAGAGGCTTTGGATATTCAAAACGATGTCTTGGGTCGTAACCACGAGGTCACTCTTAACACGATGGAGAAAAAAAGAGACGTTCTAGATGCTATGAAACGAACAGGGCAGGTCCAAGAGGCTGAGGAGACACTGCTAGCACATAAATTTGCAAACATTCACTTTCCGAACAACTAAGATCCGAACTTTTGCGTCGAATTTGCGGTAAATGATAATCGTTGTGCAAATGGTAAACGCAATTCCCGTTCGGAATTGTCAAGTCCTGAGATTTTGCTACCATTTACTCACATTCTGAATCGACCGGTTTGTCAGCTGTTGTAAACAGAAAACAACGTTATTAGATCCCGTAGCACACTCGCATAATCATGAAGCGACATAGAAGCAAGTAAGTAAGCAATTTTTAGAGTAACTCTATTTCTATAGTGTAAGCCTGTGAATAGGATCCGATGGCTCGAGCAACCTCGTTCCCAGGCTTCTCTTCTATCTGTCCCTGCGGAGGGAGATCCCTGGGAACGAGGTTGCATGGACGAAGAGGAGCTTAAAAGTGCAAGGAGACGGGGAGAGAGGAAAGCCAGGAAAGGCTTTTTCACAGACTATTTCAAGATCATTACAAAACAAGCCGAAGGAAGAATTCCTTTCCTCCAGTTAACAAACTTTTCAGAATTACCCTCTTTAAAAAAGATAAACATGAACAAATAAGAACAGGAGCCCTGATAAGAAAAAGTAAATCTTCAGAAAGAATACATATGTATTAAAAGGCACGCGAATTTTTTTTGTTGTTGTTGTTGTAATATCAGATTTTTTTTACTTTGCCTCATGATGATCGATTGGACACGCCGGCTTACATGACTTTAATAATATTCGACATGTGTCTGGTTTGTCTGGTTTAACAAGCTTTTCAATATAAAATCAATAGTACACGAGTTTCGTTACGTTTGTTTGTGATATTGCACGCTTCGTGAAAGCGATATTATTCTTTGTATACCAAGAGAACATAAAAGGCTTTAAAAAGGTCTTTTAAGTCTTAGTTGTGTAAATAGAATAGCATAATTGCCCAAAACTTACAGACCAATATCTCAAAGTGAAACTACTCAAATGCAAATTTCCTATGACGAACGTTTGCTAGGAACGCCAATTTTGAGACGATAGGAATAAAACTAAGCTAACTTTCTGTTCTAGCTAAAGGTTTCCTTTACCTTCCTTGCACGCTTCGTGAAAGCGATATTATTCTTTGTATACCAAGAGAACATAAAAGGCTTTAAAAAGGTCTTTTAAGTCTTAGTTGTGTAAATAGAATAGCATAATTGCCCAAAACTTACAGACCAATATCTCAAAGTGAAACTACTCAAATGCAAATTTCCTATGACGAACGTTTGCTAGGAACGCCAATTTTGAGACGATAGGAATAAAACTAAGCTAACTTTCTGTTCTAGCTAAAGGTTTCCTTTACCTATGTATACGGTATTTTTTCGATTATTCGCCAGGTCTAAAAGAGAAAGTAGTTAATATTAACTCCTCAGACATTTAGTAGAGTAAATATTCGAACGCTTGTTTACTGTACGCGAAATACATCCAAACAAAAGAAAGTAAAAGAAATATCACCTAAAAGTAAAGCGTATTTATTAGATTTTTAAGAATTGCATTGTTCAACAAAGAAACGTTTTCGATTAATTCGTTACACCTGTCGGCCCTTTGTGGTAGGACGGTTAGTCACAAAATGACACTGTAATGTAGTAGACAATAAAGAAAACTTGCTAATCACCTCAGGTGAACTAATTAATCACTGTCAGTAATTCCCTTCAACTCGCAATATTGACTATCGATAATAGTCCGTCACTAAAAGCTTACTCATGGCCCTTTCTAAGTTTGTGCGGTACATAGTTTGAGATCTGCAAAGACGTTTTGGTGGAAACGGGACTCTAATAGTTTTACTGTAAGCGCATTGACTGTGACTTGACAAAAAGCCTCCACAATACAGTTTTCTGAAATGCGGAAAATATTTTAACTGGAAACGTTATTAAAGCCACGATGAACTTTTCATGCAATATTGCTACCGCCAACAGTGTTGTTACAGGAAAGATGTGTCCTCAAACCTTAAATCAAACGATTTCCTCATTGTTACTGAGTTACTGACAAAAACTGGGGGAAGTAATAATGAAAGTGTAATTGAACTAAATAAAACCGATCAATTCGATCCAGTTGCCAAAGAGAGGATTAAAATGTGATTAATGGACAGTTGTGCTAAACAGTTTTTATGGGTTTAGCTTAGTTGCATGAAATATGTTTTATGATAGTAAAGAAAATCAGTAATAAAACCTGTGTTCAGAAATTCCATGTTACAAAGCTATGGCTGATTCTGTGTCAGAAGCCTCATCTGCCCAATACGTCACTTTCAGGTACACAACTGATATCTTGCACGTTGTTGTGGTAGGGCTATTACTTTTTGTTAAAAAATGTCCTTGCTTTCAAACAAACAGAAACGCAAAACGCAAATAAGGGACCGGTCATTATTTATCGCTGTCGGGGGGTTGAGGATTTTTGTTGCGACAACCGAGCACTTACGTGATCCCCCCTTAAAGCATCCAGTGTAAAATTTCACGACCCCCGCCTCTTCTATCCCAGCCACCACAAAAAGCCAGTGTTACGATATGCAAGCAAGTGACGTCTATATTAATACTTACGTCTCATGAACCTTGAACAACAACTTTACATATTTGGTCATCTGATATGAACTGCATTGTCTGTGAAGGGTCACTCTTCTCATCCAAATTGTTGAAAAAAAGCCATTGTCGCTCTCGTCCTCCTCACTGCCGAATTCTTCCTCATATTCTTCATCCCCTGATTCCCCGTCACTTTCATCTTTGGTACCACACGATTCGTCTGTGTTCACAGACTCGAGTTTATGTGTCGGTAATAATGACATCGTATAGCTTTTACCGGCTTTGTCAAGCTTCCGACCAATGGTGGTCAGTCCGTGTTCTTTCAGGTAGAAGTCAAGTTCTTTTACCTTTAAATTTTCGAAGTGTGTCCTGCTTGACCACCATAAATGACACCTTGAAATCCTCAGCAGATTTGCTATCATCCATCGAGAGCAAGCGAAAAGTCCTTTATAGGGAAGACCATACTCCAAAATCCTTTGTAAGCGACAAGCTGAAACATTTTCAGAAAGCTCAAGAACGAGATCGAGTAAAGGTGCTCCACGAAAAACTTCAAAAAGCCTCTCAGTCAAATAAGCTGGCAACAACCCTAATAAACCTGAAAAGGAAGTTTCCATCTCATTTGGAAAGATCGAAAATCGCGTAGAGAAAAAGAGAACAAAAGAAAGCTAAGGTGAAAATATAAAATTAAAGGAGAAGCGTTTACAACAGAGCCGGGCATACTTGCCTCTCGAAAAACTCACCTCAAGAGAGGTACGTAGCTGGAGACGTGTTTGATGCAATCAAAACTGACAACAGTTTTACAAGCATCCCAACCATTGATACTGAGTTAACCGGGAAATTGCTCAGGCGTCTTCATCTCGACCCTCTGCTATTGCTGCTTAAAAAAGGCGTTTTTAATAAAAACATTATCCGTACCTCGCAGGTAGTAGTAGCCTGTAGTTTAAACGAAAAAAGCACTGAAGTTTCAAGCTCGAACGAGGACTCTGCTGAGAAATCGGACGAGGAGGATTATCCGGAAAGAATTAGCAGAGGAGGAAATCCAAGAGACAGTGGAGGATGTTCAAGAGTCGGTAAAGGGAGGCGTTCAAGAGGCTACCAAACTAATCAGTTGTTGATATACCATGTATATATTTCTTACTTCTGTTGTTGTTATTTGTAATGACGCTGTACCGCCACGTTTATCGAACCTTCTTATTACAGGGATACCTTTCAATGACTCTAAAGAATTTAAAACATGGAACTTAGTGAACATTCAAACTATAAAAAGTAAACATTTTTTAGCATCACGTTTAATACATAAGCACAACCACTGACTATTTCATTCAGTGTTAGTCAAAACATCATCAAAAAGGTAATAAATTGATCCCACCCCTTCAAATAATTTTCTCCCTTTTTTCCTGGTCCCCCTGAATGCCTGTTAGTTGGGGCTGATCCCCCCTAAATCCACCTTCCCAACCAGGCGACAAATAATGACTGGTCCCTAATGAATACCGGCTATAATATGGAAACTCATCCATAGCCTGCGAGAGCAGACGCCTTTTACGGCTCTTCTTTCACCAACCGGGAAAAATAGGCGCTAAAATTCAATTCAATTCTTTATTTCACACTATATAAGGTGTTTACATAAGTGTACGTAGGTAGGAAAATAAAGTAGCTGACAAATAATAATTAACTAAAAGACATTAAGTTCATTTGTGTAAAGTGTCCAAAGTAGCAAGAGCTTTCTCGTTGGACACCGCCATGTTGAAATAATCGGCAGCAATAAAGAGAGGAATAAAATCTCAGATAATATCAGTGATACAACATATAAGCAAGGTCAGATTTGGTTGGTTAGAAGATAGGACTTCCATTCTTTCTTAAACTTTTGATATGGCAGACCCTTGAGACCAAGCGGTACAGTCTCCCAGATTTTTGGAGCGGGATGGGGGATAGCATGACAGGTTATAAATAACGTTACCTCTGTTTGCCAAAAACAAAGTAAAATGCATAATTCTCATAAAAAGTGTGCGGTGTGAAAAAAGCCCCCCCCCCCCGCCCCCCTCCTGAAAAAAAGAAAAACACACATACACATACCACTACGCCGACTTCTTGCTCTGCCAATATCCCATCATGGGCTTCTTACAATCTTATCAGAGTTTTTATTTAAATGCTGGGTTTACAGCTGCAACAACTTAGACTTTCTTCAGTGTGAAATCTGTTGTTGAACTAGCTCTTAGATGGTAGTGACCAGCTCTAGTTATGATTGCTACAAACAACAGTTTTGCTGGTATGTATTTGAATCCCATTCCTTTTGCTTGCAGTTGGCAACATCTTGAAGTATTTCAGTTGGACATGAACAGGGAGCAGGGAATTAAACCTTTTCTGGAAAAGTACCACAGGCCATAGGCGTACGGGCCGGGGGGGCGAGGGGGGCTGCAGCCCCCCCAAGTTTTGGGCAGCAAGAGAAAATTTGGGCAAAGCCAGTTTTTAAAGACGTTTCCATGTTTTTTTTTATTAGTTTAAAGAGACAAATATTTTCTATTTTAATCTGAAATAAGTCCTGAAGTCAGCGTAATAATGCAGTTACATTCTCTCGAGACAGTCACAGTAGTTGCCTAACTCGTGATGAGTTTCTGGTTATAGGGAAGAGTATCATTTGTTGTTTTACATATTTATAGTTTTTTATTGTTGAGCACTGTACTACACTGCACTGACTGGAATGGGCTCTTTCCAGTCGTGAATTGATTAGAATAAACTTCCGCATATCTTTCTAGAATCATCTCCGCTCATAGAACAGTGTATGGCAGATAGCATCAGCAACAGCTGAAAATGAAGAAGTGGCTGACTAGTACTCAGCTCGAATTACGAGAAGAATATTAAATTTTTTAAAAAATCTATCAAGCAATAATTTATTGAAGTAGACCGAAATGTTTACAAAACCGCTAACAAGGGCGCCTCGATACATACTAATGAAATCCTTCTCTCTAGCAATCGGCCGGAGCTATCTCCATGATCGTTTGCACACGAATTTAAAAAGATCGAAGCTACTATCAGATGAAATTGCATGTCAAAACAGCTTCGTTTTCAACGGATAACGGCCAAACATCAAGATTCTTTTTTTACCATATTTATAACGATAAAAACTTCATCCCAAAATATCCCAATAACGCTCTTATAGATTCCGTTTTAACTTCACTAACATCGAGGCGACTATTGGAGAAAAAAGTTCCCGTGAACGATTTTTTAGGAACAGTTCCCAGTGCCGAGAAATATTGCTGTAAGTAAAATAGACAATGGCGTCGTTTCGTTGCTATGACAACTCTGATGTCATTAAAACCCTGCTCATGACAAATTTTCATCTTTATCTAATAAAACTATGGTAGCAATTTTTCCAAATGTTTGTCTATGGCGACGTTGTTATTTTCAAAATTGGGAGGTATTGACCCTGAAAAACTGTTACAGTATCGAGCCACCTTCATATGCCAGTACGGCCTTCGTTGTTGCATCGTATGGCCCTCGTTTCTTTTCTACGGTTTCGTAAAAATTTGGGCAACTTGCGAGAATTTTTTGGGCAAATGGTTTACCGCCCCCCTGGCAAAAAAATTGCCCGTACGCCTGTGCAGGCGACGGTTGAAAACATAAGAGACTTCGTATGAGAAATATATTACTGAGATCTGCGAACGGTAAATAACGCTAAATCTTACATTTTCTTAAATGAAATGAATAAAAAAGACTTACTTGCAATGTATTCCAATGCGTTTTGGTGTCTGATTGTCGTTTACTGTTTTTTTTGGCTTTATTGCGTAACCACTGTTACTCCTTTCATCGTTCTAAGAAAGGAGTAACAGTGGTTACGCAATAAAGCCAAAAAACCAGTAAACGACAATCAGACACCAAAACGCAGTGGAATACATTGCAGGTAAGTCTTTTGTATTCACTCCATTTTAGAAAAAATAAGGTTTAGCGTTATTTAGCGTTCGCAGATCTCAGTAATATATTTCTCATACAAAGTCTCTTATATTTTCAACGGTCGCCTGTCATGCGACACCGGCGCGTCCCCTATGGTATGTAAAGTACCATTACACCCTTCCCTCGTAACGTGAGTTTGGGTCACCTGTGTTTGCACCTCAGTTTTTTTAATGAAAGCTTTGAGAACTCCCACGGACGTTAGTTTGAAAGCAAAGTCAAGAGGCTCAGTTGGTTTGAATATGGAGCATGCCCAATATGAATTGTCAAGGATGTTGGCAGAGATTTCGGGTGACGCTCGATATATTAAGTCAATATAAGCACTATTGTCTCGTTCAGTTGTGTGAAGTGTTATTGTGTAAAGGCTAGGGACAGGGGGGGCTGGCAGCGAGGTCTGGAACCGAGTTTACATGATCGCCCCAGTTTCGCCCCAGTTAAGAAATTTGGCCGAGTGAGACTGAGTACCAATTTTCCTTGGAAATAAATATGGCGGAGAATGCGGACATGGAAAGATGATGAGTTTTTGCTCGGTTTTACGTTTTACGGCGTCCAAACATCAAGAAAAGGTTTTCATGAACTTTTTTCATGAAAGTTTGGACATCAGGAGGCGTGATGTATGAACAGTTCATGAGTGACTTCGCTCATCGTGATTCTTCACCTTGGCAAGTTCAGTTATTATTTTCGAGCGACCAGCCTCAGGGTAGCCTGCTCCATCTCTTATATATTTTTTCACCTACGGTGGTATTAAGAACTCTCTGCCTTATCCTAAACATATGCTACGAGCTCATTATAGTATGAGTCTTGCAACAGTCATATAGGAATGTTCATTAAACCAATTTTGTACTTCGCTGTTCTTAAGTTTGTTTGTACACTGGGAGCCACAACAAATATTTGTGGGCGTAAATACAGAATACAGGGCTAATTTAGTAAAAGCCAGGTTAAATGTTCCAATCACTTTGCTTCACATATACTGGGTCTGTCAGTATAAGCTATTTTTAATATCAAAAGGCTGCAGGGAAGGGCTTACTGAATCTTCAAAACTTTCACTGGAATGTCTTTTGAGTGATAATCAATAAATAGCTCCAACAGCAATACTGTATTTAGTAGTTTTATATTAGATAGTGACTTCGGTTTTAAGTACCTCCTTGAAAGTGTTTGTACAAAAATTACCCGATAGTTTTGAACTATACTTGAATCTGAGTGTGGGGACAAGAGGTTAATCCAGTTGCTAATAAGAGTGAGTACATCAGAGAGGGGTATGCTCAGTATACATTGAGAAAATCCCTCAAAGGACTGAAGTACAAGGAAAAGAAAAAAGAAAATTGAATGTTTTGCAAAGTTTATAAAAAGAATCAGAAGGACCTTGAATAATGTACGACTTCAATTGTTTGTGTAAGTTATGAATCTGATTTACAAGTAAAATAAACAAGGTAAAATTGACTTTTTATCAACCATCAAAAGAAGTTATTGTCCCTTGAGCCCAATCCCCTCAGCAGTTCTTTCTACATACTACCCCTGGCTTATTTGGCCTAGATGCGTATGTGCTGCTGAGTTATGGTGGTGACCATTTCACCCTTTAGAGTTTTGAACAGGGTGTTTGTTTGGGCTGTGAAGGTTGATGAAGAGCAGTCTGTAGTTACATTTTTGGTACCACCAATTTTTTCCCCAAGTTTTTCCATCTTTCTAAGTTTAAAAGTTAACTTAATTCTGCATGTTAACTGAAGTGAATCAGGGTTATAAAATCAGGTCTCTTGGCATAAAAAGGGTGGGGGAAATGAACAATGTGTCCTACTACCCATACTCTCTTTCAGTGCAAGCCCAGGGAGGTGATCTCACATTTTAAAACCCTTTTACCACTTGTTTTAACAGCAAAGTTAGTGAAGGTCTATGGTCTCTGAAAAATGTTTTTGCCTGCCTCAACACAAGTTTCTAACTGTTATTGTTGACTACAAAATTAATAATATTATCTTAATAATCATTTTACATTTTTTTCCAAGACATCCTTTGGTGTTTTGCATATCCACTAGTATAAGGTAATTTTTAAGTTGAGAGGGTTTGATTTCATTAACTACATTTTTATACAGACACAAACTAACCTGGCAGGTTGATGTCCAAAAGTGTAAAAAATTACATGCAACTGTATGGCAAAAACTGATCATCGTGGCCAAAGGAAAGGCAAAAATAGAAATGTCACCATTTTACTGACTTTATACATTCCCTTGGAAGCATATTTAGCCAGATGTAGTCCTTGTCAAAACATGCAAACTTGAAGATTTATTTTCTGAACTTAGCTAATCTTTTTTAAACCATAATCTTGTTCCAAGGGGTAGTGTAGTTTTTAAAATTTATAATTTTTCCCTCTTTTTTTTGCAACAAAACACACTTGAATTAGGACTCAAACTGAAGGCAGTGTAATAACTGCTGTCACGAAAAGAGAATTCCAAACACACAAAATAATTACCCTCTCATCTGCCTAAGATTCATTTGTTAGAAACTACGGTAAAGTTTAAATTAAATCACACGAAGATAAGAACTTAAGCATATCAACATGTGCAAAATCAAGAGAGAATGATCTCTTGGCAAAATTTATTTAGCTTCTAGTACATAAAGAAATACATGAACTACGGGATTTGACCATGCCACTCAATCATCCAACGCAACTCTGCCAGGATAAGTTCACAATCAAGGATGTAGAACTGAGAATCTCAATCATCATTTCTTGTCGTCTTAAAGGTGTAGTGAAGCCGTAACCAACTCTCAGCTGAACTCTGACAACTCTTCTACTCAACCACATGCCAGTCACCGCACTTTTTTAATATCACAAAGAATTAATTTTGGACTTTTCGATTGAAAATATACGTATTGGAGGGTTGGCCCTTCTTTTACTCTTGTAATTCGTGGGTCTTCTAAACAGAAACAAATCATCAAAAGGTCGGGCATCGAGAAACATGTTCACTGGTCTCGTTCTTACCATAGCAAACCGGGCCGCATTTAACGACAAACGCAAGACCAGAAGAAAGGAAAACGTAAGCTCCACATTACCGCGGAACAAAACAAAGAAACCAATGACCAACGGGACCAAAAGCAACTACACTTCACACTGCCGAATCGCTGCGAAAAACAAACTTGTTGTTTTCCCACCCGTTCCGCGCATGCTCGCTACAGTTTTCGGATGAGGTCAAGTAATACGGGCAACATTTTCGCACAACTTGTCGCGCAACATTGTTGCGTTGCAAGTTGAAAAGCGTTGTTGCCCGTATTACCACCTTCGCTCTCAACTTGTCACGCAACAAATTTCGATGTTGCAGGTTGTAGCTAATTAAGAAACTCCTGCGTTGTGATTGGTCGACAGCGTGTTTTCGTGTCAGCAAACAAAATGGCAGACGCGCTGGGCTTTCGTAGAAAGCGAGCGATAGCCGCCCTTGGGTTAAGTTTTTTACTTGAGGAAGAGGCCCAGCAACCCCGTAAGAGAAGCCGAAAAGTTTATATGAGGGACTGGATTGCTTTGCGAGAGGAGAGAGGGATTTACCACCAGCTGGTAAAGGAACTGGAAACAGGAGATCGTGTTGCGTAAAAAGAATTTTTTCGCACGACCAAACGGCAGTTTTGTTTTCTGGTGGAAAAAGTATCGCCTCTCATCGAGAAAAAACAGCAGCCTTCGCCAATCAATTCCGTACGAAGTACCATAAAGCCAGACGAACGCCTCGCTGTTACATTACGCTATTTAGCAACTGGAGAAAGCTTTCACTCACTTGAGTACTCGTTCCGCATTTCGCGACAATCGATTTCGTCAATCGTCTATGAAACAAGTCGTGCCCTTTATCAAGTATTGGCGCCCGAATTTCTAAAAGTTCCGAGCACGGAAAGAGAGTGGCAGATATTGGCCGACAAATTCGAGTCCAGGTGGAATTTTCCTCATGGCATTGGTGCAATTGACGGGAAACGGGTGATCATCCAGCAACCACCCAACTCGGGCTCCCATTTTTATGATTACAAAGGAAACAACAGCATTGTCCTCCTCGCTGTCTTTGGGCCTGATTACCAGTACATTTGGGCAAGTGCGGGAACGAATGGCCGTAGCTAGGGATCATCATTGTTTATAGTGGCTGGGGGAAATCCCTGGTCCCTAATGATAGCAACCTTTCAAAATGACTTTCTTTGTACCCTGAGCCATACAACCAGAATGTGACATAATCTCTTTTGTGTAAAAAACTTAATTGAAAAACACCTCAAACAGCAATTCCAAAGGATCCTGAAAAACACAAAATATAGGACGTGTATAAAAGCTTTATTCATTAATTTTTATTAATTTATTTGTGTGAAGAAAGTGAGGCTTTTTGAAACTCCTCGTATAACAGGTAATTCTTAATTGCCTCATAAATAATCTTATATGATCCTGTCTTGCTACACTAAGAATGAATAAAGTTTTCCCTGATTTGACAGGACTTGCATGAGAAATCTGGAAGTCATTGAAGTTGTTAAGTCCTTATTTACAACAAATTCATCGTCCAGTTTGTTGTTGGCTTATTTGAAATTTAACCTGCCAGAGTAGTTTTGAGTGATATTACAACATAACAGTAACACGTTTAAAAACTACCCCGTGGAGCTAATACTTTCTGAAATATACCTGCACATCTTTTATTTGCCCTTGAGTTCATGATTATTTTAAGACTAAAGTTTAGACACGACTTTTCACACGAATGTGAGGCTCGGAAAGTGTATGCATTATAACAAAAATATTGGCGCCATTTCATGCAAATCGGACTACAAAGCGTTTACTGAAAAGACCAGTTAAAATTGTCAGAGTTAAACTAGTTACTGGAGCTTGTGGGTTGAAAGCATTGAGGCCTGTAGACAGCGAGCTACATGTACTTGTAGGAGCAAGTATACCTTGAGGAACGTAGCATTCCATTTCCAAATCAAAAATGACATCGTTAATCCTTTTCTTTGCTATAGCAAGTTGTCGACCAGAAAACCGTCGTAACTGAGACTCCAGTGACTTCACAAACCAGCTGATTGAATCATTGTTTTCCTGACTTGCTGCTGCTGGACTTTGAAGGCATTTCACGGCTTCCTTGAAAAAATCCAATTTTATCTCTCGTTTTCTTTTTCATCAGCAGTTGCAAGGGTAGTAACGGCAGGGTCTACATCGTCGCTCCCTTTTATGAACATCATTGCTTTGAAATATCTCCATTGGGAAAAGTATGCCGTGTCGGTACCCGCTCCACTCACCTTGGTGTCTTCTTCTCTTTTTAATTCCTGGTAGAAAATGGTTTTTAACGAACTCCACTGTTTTTTAACATCATCCTGGCTTCTGTTCGGTAGAATTTCACACAGCTTCTTGAAATTTAAGTCTCTCAAGTTTCTGTCCCTATATGAAGTAAGGTGATGATTCCATAGCTGGTCGTTTTGCTTGTAAAACTCGATCAATTGCTCAGTCTCTTCTTCAGTCCACTCAGTTTCTTCCTTCGCTTTAAGAGAACGGACAACGTCATCTTTCATATACGATAAAGCGGTGTAAAATTTCCACCTCAACTTTTGACCTTCTGTGGTTTCTTTCTTTACTTCCCTTGTCAATGCCGTTCTAAGGCTATGTAGTTGTTTTTTGAGACAGCTTGGTGAAATGTTCAATTTTTGACATAACTCATCCAGAGTTCTTGACCTTCGTGGCTTGTTTTTATACTCTGGTCCACAAGTTTCCCACAGACACGGGTGCTTTTCAAGTTCTTTGCACAAATCTTTTCTTTGGGCCTCTGACATTTTTTCACTAATAAATTCACAATCTTGGGTTTCAACATTCTCAACCTCCACAACCTCGGCCATGTTTACTTCCTGCCCAAATATGCCCAAGGTCAAGAGCGTGCTTACCATCTTTCCCGCGTTTTTGGTGCGGGAAAATTGACCAATCACAGGTGTTGTGAAGCATAGCAAGTTGTGACGCAAATAACTAAAATTGAAAGTTTGTTGCAAAAAGCAGAACTCAGGTCAACTTTGCGCAACATGTTGCCACAACTTGCAACATCGAAATTTGTTGCGTGACAAGTTGAGAGCGAAGGTGGTAATACGGGCAACAACGCTTTTCAACTTGCAACGCAACAATGTTGCGCGACAAGTTGTGCGAAAATGTTGCCCGTATTACTTGACCTTCACTGGGGCGATCATGGAAAGCCGAAAAGCGGCAAGATCAAAGGCCGTTGCCAGCCCCCCCTGGCTAGGGATCATTGTTGTGTTCTCTGTTACGTAACTCGAGACTTGCTATTCACTTGGTATATCGTGCACCAGCCGAGGTTCCTACCTCTTCCAGACTTATCCTGGAAGATCGAAAGAGACTGTGTTCGCAGGGTAGCTATAGGTCAGCTGAGTTCAGTTCGTTTTAAAAAGCACACATAGCAAATGCTTATCAAGTTACCATGCATGGATTTAAATCTTTACAAAAATTTTCCCAGATTATACAGTGCATTTTTGCAACAAGCACAGTTAATCAAAGTTAAATAACGATACTTACCACACAGCTTCTTGAAACCTTGGCTTATAAACACGGCGACGACCAAATAACTACGCCCGCGTTTAATAGGGGTTCTTAGGGGTCGGTCACGCGTTCCTGCCTCTAAACTTGAACCAACCTCGTTTTCATTCACTTCCTCCTGCCCCTACGACAATCGGTTCTTCCGGCTTTAATACGCAACCATCGATTCGATCACCAGGAATATAATGGGATCTTCTATTGATAGAAATTTTCATACTTTCATCGTTCTCACGTCCAGACAAATAACGGATGATGTATTGGGAAGGTTGAAATTTTTGTGCAAAGACGAATTGGCGGAGGGAGAGATTGAATCCACCAACAACTCCCTAGAGTTTTTAGAATTACTATGTAGACAGGAAAAGATTTGGCCCGGAGATATGGGTTACTTGTCAGCCCATTTGGAAACTGCAGGGAACTTTAAACTAGCCAAAGAGATCAAAGAATGGGGTGAGTGTGTATATTGTGTTCTATTCATGTAGAAGGCAACTTAATATATCATGATCTCCGGCTGCGGTTAAGCCAAGTAAGATATGAATCAGGCTCGTATTTGCATTGAAGAACAATCAGAGAATTTTAACAAGTTTTTTAAAAACTTTTAACTACGAAGCTTTTCATACAAGTATCCTCCTCTTTTATAAAATGTATCCTGCGCTGAGAGTTGATTTAGAAGTATCTTCCGGCGGCTCAAGTAACTTACGAACGATTGTGCTGATTCACATGTGATTCACGTATTCAGATATGTAGAGAACTGTAGTTACGATATTGTATCGAATATTGTACTCCAGATATGCTAAGCTGTTTATTAGACACGCAGTACGTGCGAACGTAAACAAGCCAAGTAAACAAGCCGAGCGACGCGAATGTTTCGCGCGCTGTGTCACAACACAGCATTTTCCTTCTCTTTGTTAAATACGACCCACAGATAACGCACGGCAAACAAATCGGCAATAGAAAACAAACTTTAGGGAAAAACAGGTACATTGAGCTAGTGAAACAAACTATTAAATAATTTAAATTTTCCTTTTGGAAAATAAGCGTCCTCGCAGCACACGGTGTGGATGGTTTCGCTTATTGCCAAGAGTTTGACATATTTTTGCTCTCAATTGCCATGATCAGGCCTTCCTATAAAGGGGCCTGATACTCAGGCTATCTCAATTGTCGAGCGCCAAAGAAGATGTCACGCAAAATTCCACGATCCAGTGCATGAGATAATTTAGGGTAACACTGAAGTGAATGATGCATAATCTCATTGCATATTTTTGGAAAGGAGGTGATTTCTTAAAATCTTATTGAGCAAAATGACCCCGTAAACAAGTTGCATTCTTTCACGAACCGTAAAAGGGACAGAACGGAGTTCAACATCTTCACGTGTAAACCACGTTCATAGCCAATGGCAAATCAGCATTTTCGATTATAGCCACCAGGAAAAAGCTAGTTTCGCTCTCTTCACCAAAGACTTTACCATAGTAGCAACTGAAGTAGACTGCAAAACAGTCGGCCTGCCACTTATTAAAGGTTTCGTGTTTCGCGCGTGATAACTTTTGCCTCTGGCTTTCACAGTGTGTCAGAATTCAATATTCGTTACTTTAAATGAGGCTACCAGCCGTTAGAAAATCTCAATCTTTAATCTCAAAGTGAAATTTTGACTCCAATACAGCAATTCCTTTGTAAATGAAATTCATTCCTGAATTATGAGCTGAAAGCGCTGATCAAAAACATGTCAACAACAGGAGTATCGGCTCCTGGCGATAATCGAGCTATAAAAGCGTTCAAAAAGGGGGTACTTTACCATGGGGAAGATTGTAATAGAGGGCCAGAAAATGACCCTCCAATACTCGAGCCCGCGTTTTTAGCGGGGCTCCCTCGCGCGCGAGGCGCGCGTGGGACAGAGCCCCATACTCATGGAATATGGTCAACCTTTTTTCTTTTGGTTGTCACGTGACTGACCGAGCGTACGTACGTACGTACGCGTCTACAGATTGTACGGGTAGGGTAGGGGAGACTATCAAAAGGAAGGGAGGGGTGTCTCAGGCGTGTCTTAGCAAATCCACATCTTTTACATTGGCCATTCACGATATGGTCAATTGACAGCTGTCAAAACAAGATAGCCACTGACCAGTATCACATTGCCATATCGGGGGCTCATGTGTCAACTCATCAAGGTGACGTGAGTTATTTGGAAGCTGTCCGCTGACCAGTTGTTTTACTAGATCGCGATCAATGTTCAATCTCATACTTTCTAGCTAGTTTGAGAGCACAGGAAAACTGATAATGCACACATCCATTTATCAATGTTTTGATCAATTGACAGCTGTCAAAACAGGGTATCCGCTGACCAGTATCACTTGACCGTATCGCGGGCTCAGGTGTTAACCCATCGAGGTCAACTATTTTTTTGAAGTTATCCGCTGACAAGTTACTAGTTTTCAAATGATCGCAGGCTCAAGTTTGATTTTTTTTTTCATTCATATGAAATATGTTTTGTTTTTGGGCCGCACAATTAAAATTTTGATTTAAAACTGACCTCGGACCCGAAAATTCAGCCAGCTATTACAGGCAAGACAGTTGCTTTTGACTTTGCTCACCATGGTCACGCGTTGGTCACGCTCTACGTCCATTTTTAAAGCTCTGATTGGTCAAAATTTGACAGGTGAGCTCATGCGGAAAATTTATGCAGCCTCTTGAATCTTGTTTACTTTGACAGCTGAAGCTGAGAGAGTTTTGTGTCAACTTGTGATGTTTTTAACTGTCTTTTTCCACTGGATGCACAAAATGAAATTTAGCTGCTATCAGGAGCCTTCTGTTATTCATGGCTAGTTGGTTTTTGGTTGAGAAATTAATACATCACTTGTCAAAGTCGGGAATCCGATTTCGGGTGTCAACGTTTTTGTTTTTCACCTTGCTTGATGCGTAAAGGCTGAAAACTCTGAAGCGATACTGGCCTTCCTTGATACCTTTCAGGAGCTGCATCTCGAATGGTAAGCCCCAGTAATTATTGTGTTTGATGTTTGTTTTTTATATCTAATTTAAAGAAGTCGAGCGTAGTTTATGCGGCTATGTAGTTTATGCACGTTTGTAAGATTTGAGACAATTTGATCTGACCACGAATCAGGTAAACTTGATATAAGCTTACACAACTTTAAAAAGTCTTTAGACATTTTCTCACCGCAAATAGGAAGAAAACGTTCCAAAGAACATTTAGTTATAATTCTGGCAGTAAAAGAAAGCTTTGAGCGATTTTCTTGCCTCGAGTTCATCTGTGAAAAAAGTAAATACCGGGAAGCCGGCTTAAAACATAAACTTAAGCTTTAAGCTTGAAGACTCAGGATTTTTAGAGACACTTTAATATTTGACTTCGTGAATGAAAAATGTTGTCTCTGTATATGTTTCGCCGAATTATATTTCCTTTATTGATTGTTGGTAGTCTCTCTTGTAATTTTAATCGCTGTGCCGTTTGTTTTCAGTCGTTCAGTGAACATCGCTTGCAGGAGTACTCAAACTACCGCGCGTATCAAACGCTTTTAAAGATTACAGATCGATAAAACCATTAAATAAAAAATAAACATAACAATTTCTTTATTGTGTTGGAGCTTAACTCTAGTATGTTCGTTCAAACATTCGCTACAGCTCGCACTGCAAAAGTGAGAACCGGCTGGCTGTATATGCGATTTTGGACATTTTTTTAACGGTTTAGCTAAAAGCCCACGCGTGCTTCGATCGTCCTGAATATTGAATGAGTGCAATTTCTCTTGCAAAATTGTGAAATACTGAATTCTGTCCGAGGTCTGTATGATAAAAACAGTACCTCATAGTACTGTTTCACCTCAGATGTGATGTATAAATGGTATAAAAGGGTTGTTTACACGCAACCAGATTTGTTGGCAAGATTTTGTAAAGTAAACTTGTCGAACGCAAAAAAATTCAACCTGATTTTTTTTCCAGGCCTAATTAATCTTACGGTGATCAAGAGCCATTATGGCTCTTAAATGTGATCGAAGATGATTGCTATTTTTTGGGTGTACATATGAGGTTATCAACTCGATGTAAGATTTTGTTCACTCTTGGGCTGTTTGCAAATTATTTTTCTCTAAAATCACTTAGCCTTTCCCTCAAAAGTCACATGAATGTGCTATGTGCTCTTAAGTTAACTGAATTGTGGAATACAAGTTTATTGTTTGATTTAAATTATAAATATATAATGGGAGCCTCGCTTTTAGCCCTGGCTAAATCTATATATTATTGCTCAATAGGTGACCTTACATGACGTACTTGCTGGGTTGTTTGCCGCTCGCTTGAGCTATAAAAGCGTTCAAAAAGGGGGTACTTTACCATGGGGAAGATTGTAATAGAGGGCCAAAAAATGACCCTCCAATACTCGAGCCCGCGTTTTTATTGGTCAATAGGTGACCTTACATGACGTACTTGCTGAGTTGTTTGTCGTTCGCTTGGTCGATCGCTTGTCAGTTGTCCAACCGTCGCGTTGTAGGTGCTGTTGTACCATGCCAAAACGTTCTCCCGCAAAGAGAGATTTTAGAGATAACGGGAGGAGAAAAGTAAAAAAGAACAAAGAAGGTGCTTCTTCATCAACCAGCAAAGTGGACGAAGATTTGGTAAGATCTTTCTGTTTGTTTTCTGTTATGGCACCCCTCTTCACCTTTTCACGTATTAGGGGTAAGCTCATATGATTTCTAGTTCAACTTTTTAATACTTCCTCAGATTTTCTGGAATGAAAAAAGCGTTTAATTCACGAGGAAGCTAACATATTTATTATACTACTGAGCTGATCATCGTTAAAAAGGGAACATGTTCTTTTTTCCATGATCGAGGGCAAGCTACCACGACATATGACATGGAGAGCTTTGTTTTTGTACTAGCATGATTTGTAGTAATATTTGGCATAAATACCACGAGTGATATTTCGAAATTGTTATACGTAATTTCAAATTTGAGACAATTTTGAAATATCACGAGTGGTATTTGTGACAAATATCACGGACAAATCATGCTATTATTTGTTTTATACTACTACCTGCAAAAGGTTTGTAATTTTCACATGTAGGCATTTCAAATTAAGCTGAAATACCACTGCTCTAAGCCAATCAAATTGCAGTAATTTTTCATGTAGTAGTGTAAGGCGTCTAAGCTGTCGATTTCCAGGGTTTACCTTGGTGTAAGAACCTGTGAACTTTTTCTTTGTTTCGCACCTTTTGTTTTTCTGCGTTCTATTGCGTTGACTTCTTTGTTTCCTCCATTTTACGTCATTTGTGAGTTTAACAGGTTCTTACACCGAGGATGAGCCGATTTCCATTTATGGAAATCAAAAAGCAACCTTGAACTGTAGACCATAACAAATAAATATATGGCAGCACTCCTTCATACTTTATCTATCAATAGTTGGCACTACAGCTGCCCCCGCTCTGTATGTATCGTGGTCGGTCAACAGTCTTCTTTTTTGTGTAGCTCTTTAAAAAACATGGATTCATAATGGATATTTTCACACATATTGCATACATAGATAAGAACACAAAGCAAAAAGTTTCATGCGGTGATTCAGTTCGATTTTAAAGCAGCTCAGATCAAACCATTCTCTGTTTCGAGAATATTTTATTCAAAAATATAAGCAAAGATTTGATTAGAAGTTGTAATTCTTCACTATTTCTCTTTTACTTTTAATTTAAAATGTTTGATCACATTACTCTTGGGCGTTCTAGTCATTTAACTTTTAAGACAATACGTTAATGAGAATTCGATGAAGAGAACTGTTTCATTATGATGGAAAGATATCTGCTGAAGAGCAGTATTCACCATTGTGCATTCAGCAAGAGATACTGAAAGCAAAGTTTATGCAACAATATTGGGAGGAGGTAGACAGACAAGGTGTATTAGGGAATGCAAAAATAACAAATACTTGTGGTTATATAAATGTCACGTAAGATCTGAACAAGTTGAGTAATTCATAAGTTTTTTGGCCAGTCTTTCTTACATGTAGCTGAACCATACATTTATAACAAATATGGAAACCTTGGAAAGTTTAGCTCTGTGAATTTGACCTTAAAGTGGAAATCAAAGTTCTATTGTAAGATGATACAAAATATTTTATTTCCTCAAATAAAAGCCATCCCTCTATTAACCACCTCCCTCAAATAAGAAATCTTTTCTAGTAATAGTTGACAATACAGCTCCACCCCCTCTGTATATTGTCGGTCAATAGTATTCTTGGTCATTGTGTAGCTCTTTGAAATATACCAATTCATGATCAAAGATTTTCACACATATTCTATACAGAAGGTGAGAGTAAAAACAGGAAACGAAAGGTTCTATGTACTGTTTCAGTTTGATTTACACAGCTATGATCTGAAAGCATTCTCTGTTTTGAGAATAGTTTATTTTAAACCATTACAAAAGATTTAATTTTTAGAAGTTAAAATTTTACAAACAGTTCATTTTATTTGCCTGAAATAAAGTCTTAGAAATTAAAAGGTTTGATCAATAATTTCTCACAGATGTCCTTTAGGGGATTAAGTATTAGAAATGGCTAGAACATGCCAAAGATATAGAGAAAGAGATCAAAGATCTGTGAACTTGTGTCTGGCAAACTATCCAATCATTTATATACACAGTCATACACACCTTATAACCTCATCTCCGCTTAACGATGTAACATTTCCCAAGCATTGGTTATATAGAGGTGTTCGATATAGCAAACCCTCCACTTAACTAACACATTTCCCCAGTCCCTTTGCATGTTAAATTGAGGTTCCACAATGTACTTAAATACTTCGATCACTAAAACTCCTTTTAAACTATATCATACAGCAGAGAAGTTGATAACGGATTTGTTGTTGTTCTTGTTGCAGGAAGACGAAAAGTGATTAATGAAAGAAGATCATTAAGAAAAATAAACATCACTCGTTTTTTTTAAAAAAAAAATGGTGTATTCATTTGTATAAAAAAAAAACTTTTGAACGTCGTTTCTCCTTAGACAACAACTACTCGCACGTCCAAGCTCCTTACAGAGGCGTCTTCTCTATTTTCTAAACAACCACTTTTCGACTAGATTCTCTTTTTTAATAGCAGGGGATTTTTAGATAAAACTTCATTGACAATCATTATCATTAACCTCTCTCATAATATTGGGAAAGGCTTTTCGTTGTGCGTGGTTTGTAGAATCTCGTTTTTGACTGTCTTTTACTATTCATTGTAATTATTATTCTTTAAACAGTTCATATTTCAGTTTATTTGTTGCTTTGGTACATGTATGTTCTTTTTATCCCCATATAATGGTGACGTGGGATCCTATTCACCACCGGTGTTTAGTTTTCTGTAAGCTAAAAATAAATTTAAGTAAAACCTTCATACACCAAGAAGGGTGGCCTTAGAAAAGAATAAGGCTCGAGGATGATAATTGGTGGTAGAAATGAATAGTCTGTTGAACGTTGTGCTTCCTCTTTGACAACAACTAGTCAAACATTAGAGCTTGTTACAAAGCTTTCCTCTCTACTTTTATAAAAACCATTTTTCAATCACTATTGATTTTATTCACATTGAAATGTTGTGAGTTCTTAGGCTCAGTAAACCTTGTAACACACATTTCTTAGACTCCTTTTTGTTATTGGAAATGCTTTTCATTGCGCATGTTGACTAGAATCTCGTTATTGACCCTCTTTTATCAGTCATTGTTATTCTTTATTATTAGTTATAACTTAAGAATCATCTTGTACATTCGTGACCTTGTACTCAAAACCGTGGCATAAAAAGGTTCACACTCAGCCTCTCTCCAACATCAATAGCACAGCATAAAAGGAAATTTAAGTCTTCGTTAAGTTTTACGACAAGTGATATTGTATACCGCAGGACCCAACCTAGAGAGTACAGTGGGGGATCGAGGGGAGGGGCCTGGGCCATTACTTTTAGACCGGAATGAGGCTGAAAGAGCAGAAAATGTTATTTTAGACTGGGTCCGCCACTGCAGTAACATCGAAAAGAATGTGGCAGTTTGAAAGTATCAGAAAAGTTTACGAATTTTCTAGACGGTGTTCTCTTGAAAGGAAATTTCTTTCTTCGCAATGACCGAGTATTTTTTAAAGTCGATGATTACGAAAACTAACGTTTTGGAAACCCATAACCACCGGATTGTAGCTTCCAGTAAGATTTAACTAAAAAGACTAACAATTGCATGGATAAGAAAAGATTAAGAAAACCTTCATGACAACAAAATGGGTCGCTTCGGACGATCAGCCGAAGATGATAACAAGAAAAAAAGACCAGTCAAACTGTTTCAACGAGTCAATCGTCTGAGCTCCTTACAAAGACATTTCTCCATTTTTTAAAAAACCGAATTTCGAGTAGCTTTTCTCCGTTTACGTTTAATGAATTCTTAGCAAATCTTTGAATCAAAATAACCCATTTAAATTTGTTACTAGTAACGGGAAAGGCTTTTCCATGGACATTGTTAGTATCGTTTATGATCCTCGTTTACCATTCGTTGAATTATTCAGTGTAAGGCAATCCATGTTTCAGTTTATTTGTTGTTACAAGGTCAACTATTCTCGAACTTGCTTTGGTGCGTGTAATTTTTTAGCCGTATATAACGGTGACGTGGGAGTGTCGACATTCTTTCCAGAATAAGAAACTAACAAAAAGACATCTACCGATGAAAAGCAAAACGGACGATTTCGATGCCTAATCACCACCTGTGTTTTTCTTTCTGTATGCTTGAAATGAGTTTAAATAAAACCTTCATACACCAAGAAAGATGACTTCAGAAAAGAAAAAGGCCCGAAGATGATTATTGCTGATAGAAAACAATAGTCTCTTGACCGTTATGCTTCCTGTGACAACAACGAGTCAAAACGTTTGAGTTCCTTTTTAAGGTATCTTCTAGATTTTCCTAAAAACCATATTTCGACCAGAAAGTACCTTATTCACATTCAAATGTAGCAAATTCTTAGGCTAAACCGTAAATGACCAACTTTCTACACTCCTTTTTTATTAATGGGAAAGGCTTTTCGTTACGCGCGGTACTTAGAGTCACCTTTTTGACCCTCTTTTACCATTCATCAAATTATTCTTAAATTTTTACCGTTGATTGTATTATTCTTTAGAACTTTACTTTTCAGCTTATTTGTTGCTTTAACGGAAAAGAGATATCTTGTGCTGCGTGGCCTTGGCATGAGCTGAAAACCGTGGTAAACGGGTCCACACTCTTTCCATGCAACATCCATAGCACAGCATAAAGGAAAATCAAGTTAAGTTGAGGACAAGCAATATTGTACGCCGCTTTGACTAAAGCGGGATCCAGCCTAGAGAGTACTAGCGACAGATTATAGCATGTCGAATAGTGTTCTCTGGAAAGAATTTCTTTTTTCCACATGACCGAGTATTTTGAAGTCAATGATTAAGAAAATTAACGTTTTGGAAAGTAACCTTTTTACCACCAGTTTTTAGCTTTCTGTTATCTTTAACAGAAAGACTGTTGATTGTATGGTTGAGAATAAACATTAAAAATTCTTAATACACAAAGACGGTTTCCTTTACAGAAGAATACGAACGGTCAAAGATGATAACTAGTGGTAAAATAGAACATTCGGCTGAATGCTGTTTTTTCTATTCTACTCAAACCGTTTCAACGAGTCAAACCTCTGAACTCCTCCATTTTCTCAAAAACCGTGATGGGAGAAGCATTTCTCTCTTGTATACGTTTGGGGAATTCTTAGCGAAATCTTTGAAAATAACCCATGTAAATTTGTTACTAATAACGCAAAAGGCTTTTCAATGGACGTGGTTAGTAGAACCTGGTTTATGATCCTCCTTCGCCATTCATTGAATTATTCTGTGTAAATCAATCCATATCTTAGTTTATTTGTCATTAGAAGGTAAAAAAAGTTGAAATTTTTTTTGATGCGTGTACTTTTTATCCGCATAAATAACGGTGACGTGCGTGTGTGGACATTCTTTCCAGGATTGGAAACTGTGAAAAGAAATCTACCGATAAAAAGAAAAACTAACGATTTTGACACCTAATCACCACCTATATTACCTTTCTGTAAGCTTGGAGTAAATTTAAATAAAAACTGTATACACCAAGAAGGACCAAGAAGGTTGGCTTCGGGAAAGAATAAGGCCCGAAGATGATACTAGGTGGTAGAAAAGAATAGTGACTGTCTTTTGAACGTTGTGCTTCCTTTGACAACAACGATTTCAACGTTCGAGCTGCTTACAAAACTATCTTCTCTATTTTCCTAAAAAACATATTTCGACGAGGATTGACCTTATTCAGGCATTCAAATGTAGCAATTTTTTAGGCTAAACTGTAAAAGATCAATTTCCTTTAAAACTTCTTTTCTTTCTTTTCTTTCTTTTCTTCTTCAAACGTCTAAACTCCTCCATTTTCTGAAAAACCGTGTTGGGAGAAGCATTTCTCTTTTGTATACGTTTGGTGAATTCTTAGCGAAATCTTTGAAAATAACTCATTTAAATTTGTAAAACTTTATACACCAAGAAAGGTGGTTTCGGGGAAGAATAAGGCCCGAAGATGATACTAGGTGGTAAAAAAGAATAGTGACTGTCTATTGAACGTTGTGCTTCCTTTCACAACAACGATTTAAACGTTCGAGCTGCTTGCAAAACTATGTTCTTGATTTTCCTAAAAAACATATTTCGACGAGAATTGACCCTATTCAGGCATTTAAATGTAGCAATTTTTTAGGCTAAACTGTGAAAGATCAATTTCGTTCAAAACTCCTTTTTAAGTAATGGAAAGGCTTTTGGTGGCGCGCGGTACGTAGAGTCACTTTTTTACCTTCTCTTACCGTTCATCAAATTATTCTTAGATTTTTACCATTTATTGTATTATTCTTTAGAACTTTACTGTTCAGCTTATTTGTTGCTATAACGGAAGAGATATCTTGTGCATGCGTGACCTTGGCATGAGCTGAAAACCGTGGTAAACGTGTCCACACTCTTTTCAACATCAATAGCATGTACACAGGATAAAGGGAAATCAAAGTGTCTCCGTTAAGTTGAGGACAGCAATATTGTACGCCGCCTTGACTAAACCGGGATCCAACCCAGAGAGTACTCGCGACAAATTATAGCATGTCGCAGTTTGAAAGTATCAAAAAATGATGCCTTTGAAAATGGTGTTGTCTGGTAAAAATTTCTTTTTTCGACATGACCGAGTATTTTGAAGAAAGTATTTTGAAGTATTTTGAATTAAGAAAATTAACAGTTTGGAAAGTAAACTATTCACCACCAGTTTTTAGTTTTCTGTTATCTTTAACAGAAAGACTGTTGATTGCATGGTTGAGAATAAACAAAAATTCTTGATACACAAACACGGTTTCCTTCAGAGAAGAATACGACCTGTCAAAGATGATAACTAGTGGTAAAATACAACATTCGGCTAAATGCTGTTTTTCTATTCTACTCAAACCGTTTCAACGAGTCAAACCTCTGAACTCCTCCATTTTCTGAAAAACCGTGTTGGGAGAAGCAATTCTCTCTTGTATACGTTTGGTGAATTCTTAGCGAAATCTTTGAAAATAACCCATTTAAATTTGTTACTAATAACGGAAAAGGCTTTTCAATTGATGTGGTTAGTAGAACCCGGTTTATGGTTCTCCTTTACCATTCATTGAATTATTCTGTGTAAACAGGTGTAAATTAATCCATATCTTAGTTTATTTGTTATTAAAAGGGAAAAGAAGTTGAACTTGCTTTGATGCGTTTATTTTTTACCCTCTGATATAACGGTGACGTTGGTTTGTGGACATTCCTTCCAGGATTGGAAACTGTGAAAAGAAATCTAACGATAAAAAGAAAAACTAACGATATCGAAACCTAATTACCACCGATATTACCTTTCTGTAAGCTTCAAGTAAATTTAAATGAAAAATTCATACATCAAGAAGGGCGGCTTCGGAAAAGAATAAGGCCCGAAGATTATACTCGGTCTCGAAAAGATTACTGACTGTCTGTTGAACGTTGTGCTTCCTTTGACAAGAACGAGTCAAACGTTCCAGCTGCTTACAAAGCTATCTTCTCGATTTTGCTGAAAAACATATTTCGACGAGAATTGACGTTATTCAGGCATTCAAATGTAGCAATTTTTCAGGTTAAACTGTAAAAGATCAATTTCCAAGGCTTTTCGTGGCGCGCGGTACGTAGAGTAACCTTTTTGACCTTCTTTTACCATTCTTCAAATTCTTCTTAAGTTTTTACCATTCATTGTATTATTCTTTAGAACTTTACTTTTCAGCTTATTTGTTGCTATAACGGAAGAGATATCTTGTGCATGCGTGACCTTGGCATGAGCTGAAAACCGTGGTAAATGGTTCCACACTCTTTTCAACATCATTAGTACAGCATAAAGGGAAATCAAAGTGTCTCCGTTAAGTTGAGGACAGCAATATTGTACGTCGCTTTGACTAAAGCGGGATCCAACCTAGAGAGTACTAGCGCCCGAATTATAGCATGTCGCAGTTTAAAAGTATCAAAAAATGATGCCTTTGAAAATGGTGTTCTCTGGAAAGAATTCCTGTTTTCGACATGACCAAGTATTTTAAAGTCAATGATTGAGAAAATTAACAGTTTGGAAAGTAACCTTTTCATCACTAGTTTTTAGCTTTGTGTTATCTTTAACAGAAAAACTGTTGATTGCACGGTTCAGAATAAACAAAATTCTTGATACACAAAGACGGTTTCCTTTACAGAAGAATACGAACGGTCAAAGATGATAACTAGTGGTAAAATACAACATTCGGCTGAATGTTGTTTTTCTATTTCTACTCAAACCGTTTCAACGAGTCAAACGTCTAAACTCCTCCATTTTCTGAAAAACCGTGTTGGGAGAAGCATTTCTCTTTTGTATACGTTTGGTGAATTCTTAGCGAAATCTTTGAAAATAACCCATTTAAATTTGTAAACTTTATACACCAAGAAAGGTGGCTTCGGGAAAGAATAAGGCCCGAAGATGATACTAGGTGGTAAAAAAGAATAGTGACTGTCTGTTGAACGTTGTGCTTCCTTTCACAACAACGATTTAAACGTTCGAGCTGCTTACAAAGCTATCTTCTCGATTTTCCTACAAAACATATTTCGACGAGAATTGACCTTATTTAGGCATTCAAATGTAGCAAGTTTTTAGGCTAAACTGTGAGAGATCAATTTCCTTTAAAACTCCTTTTTAATTAACAGGAAAGGCTTTTTGTGGCGCGCGGTACGTAGAGTCACCTTTTTTACCATTCAAATTATTCTTAAGTTTTTACCATTTATTGTATTATTCTTTAGAACTTTACTGTTCAGCTTATTTGTTGCTATAACGGAAGAGATATCTTGTGTATGCGTGACCTTGGCATGAGCTGAAAACCGTGGTAAACGGGTCCATACTCTTTTCAACATCAATAGCACAGCATAAAGGGAAATCAAAGTGTCTCCGTTAAGTTGAGGACAGCAATATTGTACGCCGCTTTGACTAAAGCGGGATCCAACCTAGAGAGTACTAGCGACAGATTATAGCATGTCGCAGTTTGAAAGTATCAAAAAATGATGTCTTTAAAAATGGGGTTCTCTGGAGAGAATTTCTGTTTTTGACATGACCGAGTATTTTGAAGGCAATGAGCTGCTTACAAAGCTATCTTCTCGATTGTCCAAAAAAAAATATTTCGACGAGAATTCACCCTATTTACATTCAAATGTAGCAAGTTTTTAGGCTAAACTGTGAAAGATCTATTTCCTTTAAAAGTCCTTTTTTATTAAGAGGAAAGGCTTTTCGTGGCGCGGTATGTAGAGTCACATTTTTGACCCTCTTTTACCATTCATCATACTATTCTCAGGTTAGCAGTCATTGTATTATTCTTTAGAACTTTATTTTTTAGCTCGTATTTGTTGCTATAATTTAACAGTTATCTTTTACATGCGTGATCCTGGTATCCGCTGAAAGCCGTGGTAAACGGGTCCACACTCTGTCCAACAGCATTAGCACAGCATAAAGTTATTTAAGTGTTTCCGTTAGGTTGAGGACGCCGCTTTGACTAAAGCGAAATTCATCCTAGAGAGTACTAGCGACGAATTACAGCATGCCGCAGTTTGAATGTGTCCAAAAATGATGCCTTTAAAAACGGTTTTCTCTTGAAAGAATTTTTTTTTAAACCTTTCACATGATAATTAGTGGTAGAAAAGAATACAGTCGAATAGCCTGCGTAGCAGGCGCTTGGAAGTAGTGGGCACAAGAAAAAACGGGCGCGCGAGAAGGAGGCTCCCTCACCCCTTGCGTGTCTCCCTCGCGCGCGCCCGTTCTCTCTTTCGCCCGCTACTTCCAAGCGCCTGCTACGCAGGCTAACAGTCGAACCTCTCGGTAAGGACACCTCTCTAATACGGACTCCTCTCTATTACGGACAGTTTCCAATGTCCCGAGAAATTCTCATATATTTAATTTCTTAAAAAAAGCTCCATAATAGCCATTCTCTCTAATACGGACAACGGACACGAAATCTCGGCTCCAGAGAGTAATTTCATATAAACTTAACCTCTTTATTACGGATAGTACTGTGATCAGGTGCCGATCCCGAATCCCGATCAGGTGAAACTGCACAGGTTGAATCTCGTTTTTAACCCTCTTTTACCACTCTTTGTATTATTCTTTAAAACAATGTTTGTCAGCATTTTTTAACTTAAGAATCATCTTGTACACGGGTGACCTTGGTACCCACTCAAAATCGTGCCGTAAATAAATAAATGATCGACAATCTTTCTAACCTCACTAAAAGGAAATTAAATTGTATTTTATCAGTTTGATTACAAGCAATATTGTACACCGATTCGACTTAAGCAGGACCCATTTTCTTTTCGAAGAATTCTAGCATGTCTCATTTTGTTAGTATTAAAAGTTCATGTCTTTGAAAAAAGTGCTTTTTGAACGAGAATCTATTTTTTGACATGATAGAGTAGGTTTAAGTCAATAATCAAGCACAACTAACGTTTTAGAAACCTGTTCACCACCCGAGTTTAGCTTTCTAAAGAGCTTTAACAGAACTGACTATCGATTGGATCGGTGATAACAAAATTCAAAACACCCTTCATAGAAGAGGGGTGGCTTCGGAGAAGAGTAAGTCCGGCCGAAGATGATAACTGGTAGTAAAAAAGATTATAATAAGATTCCAACCCTCTTTTATTTTTCATTTTTTTTATTAACTTTTACAAATATTTGCGTGAACCTTTTTATCACATAAAACGAGAAGGTAAGACGTCCCTTTTGGCTTCATAAGCCATTGGAAAAGTTGTTTTGGTCAGTTTGCCAACGGCAAGAAAATCTACATCGACTCAAGTTTGCACCCAAAATCAGATATTCATTATTTGAAAAAGGTTCTTTTGAAGGAAAGACTCCATCCATGACATCTACTAAGTTACTATAGGCATTTCACTTCATTCTGCTGCCTAAGTAGTACGACAGCACTGTTTTATTTTTATTCACCGTCATTGAGATCCGAGCCAACAGGCGTTAATAAGGCGGCGCAGTAAGTAGAAGGAGTCTTTATAACATCAGTGCCTTTCTTACGAGTGACTGCAAATAAAACCGTACAGAGATGGCGAAGACGGCTTAGGACACGTTTTGGTTACATTTTTCTTTGGCAGAAAGTCGAGACAGCTGACTAAAACTGAGGAAAAGCGTAACAATTAAAATTAGCCCAGGTAATACTGAAAGCATGCAACAGCTGTGGCACCAGGTTCTCGATGCCATGAAACTTAACTATCAGACTTGGCATTACGCCTTGATGCAATAAAAAGTAGATTACATGAACGAAGGTCAAGCCTGCCTTAGGTCATTAAGTAAGATGGATCAAGTAAGGTCTACGGCCAATGGTCTCAATCATCGACAAACCCGTCACAAAACCACTTTCTGATAAAACAATGGGACCAAGAGGCAATTCTAAAGGATAAATACAGATTGGTAACGGGAGAATGATTTTAGCCATTGCTGCACCATGGTGGTTCGGTGACAGATTTGCACGATAACTACACCACGGATACGAAATACTGCAAAATCGCCATTCAGGAACTAAAAGAACAGCTCATATCACTAAAAAGTTTAGGTTTTTTCTTGTAATGCGTGATAAAATAGTTTGTGGGTCCTAGAGAGTCGATTATATACGAGTTTAAAACGTGGTATTCCACGGTGCTATGAATTGCCCTCTATTACAACGTTCCCCATGGTATTGTACCCTATTTTTGACTGCTTTCTTAAGTGGATAATCACTATAATGGCTGTCAAACTTCAAATGTTTGGCGGCGAAACATGTCACGTTCACGTGAAAGTAGACCGCGCGGGTCACGGAAACAACAGACAAAAATAACCAGGGAAATACCGTATTTATTCGAATAAGCGCCCAACCTCGAATTAGCGCCCACCTCGAATAAGCGCCCATCCTAAAGGCAGAAAAGTTAATAAGCGCCCAGCCTCGAATAAGCGCCCACCCCTCCTCCTCCCAATCAAACTCAAACAAGCGCTCACCCCCACCCTACCAACTTAAGTGATTAAAGGGACTGGTTCACGATAATGCGCATGTGTGAGTTCTGACAGTAGCTGATTGTTTTTCAACCAATCGGAAGCGAGTTAGATGCACGCAAGTAAATTTACAAAATTCAAATTAATTGTTCGCGACGCGAGAGTATTTCCGGGCATTTGGTTTGATTTTATTTATCCCCATAATTCAGGTCTATTCTTTGCTATTCCTTAGATATGTGTTGCAGCCGATAACAATAAAATTTACAGCCCTGTCATGCTATGCTGCTATGCTGTCCTGCTCAAATGTTATCGAGTAGCACACATAAAGAAACTAGATTATAAACAGAATATTCAGGCAATAATTTATTTTAAAAACATCAATTCTTAAACATATACGATCGTAAAGCAAAGATACAAGGAACATTTCAAGTGTACCAGATCGGTGAAGATCGCGCGGCCTGTTGCGGTATAACTACAGGTCGGAGTCAAAAATCAAATCAAAGTTGAACGAACTCATGCCTTTAACCACTTTCCAAGTGTCGTGTATTCTTTTCGTAAGCCACACACTACTCCTAGAACCATACCAGATCGATAGGCTAAGCTTTTCTATCTCCAAAGACTCTTGAGAACGTCCTGTTGCCGGACGGCCACGATGCTCTTCTGAACCTCCATGATCAAAACATTATTTTTTGCGTCTTCTCAAAACGTAACCAGTCAAACGACAAAACCACACGTTAATCACCACTACCGAAGTATACCTAGACCAGCCAAAGCGACGGATGTCCGAATAAAACGAAGGATTTTCAATGATTGTACCGGTCATGGCGATTTCGAATTTAGTGTTGACCCAACAAAGTAATTCTGAAGAGACAAACGGCGCGCATGCGCATTATCGTGAACCAGTCCCTTTAAATTCTAATAAGAGACTTCCCCGAGGACTAGGCCTTTCCCGGTTGCGCTCGTAAAATCCTGAAAAAGTGCTGGCAAAAATGGCTAAAAAGTGCTCAAAAAGTGCTCAAAATCTCAAAATAGTGCTCAAAAAGTGCTAAAAGTTGTGAACAGTTACCTCTAAGCTTTGCGCAAATATGTCAATTTTTACTGAAGTAATTAACAATTTATTTTGCGTAGTGTTATTCGACAGGTTGTTACGAAAGGTTGATTGAATATGCAACAATAATATGTTTAAAAAACTAAAGCCGGTTACGAATTGTAAATTAATTCAGCAGTACTAGCATCAGATGATTTAGGACCTGTTTGCATGGAGTGAGGGAGCCCGGTCTAGTGGGGTTGGTTTCTTTTGTTTTCACGCTCTAGGGGACACAAAACAAAAGAAACCTACCCCACTAGACCGGGGTCCTCCACTCCATGTAAACAGGGTCTTAGAAATTTGAGATGACACACGCATGATACATCAGCCAATCAGAAACTTCTGTTCTCACGCTCAGTGAGGATAAGTCCACGTGCCTGACCATGACAACGGTCTTTTATTCTTGACAACATTATTAGTTATTCAAATTTATGACCTGGAACACGATTCTCGTTGCAAGCGACACACAGTTTTTGCTTTAAAATGTTTTAGAAGACATATGTTGCTCGAAATTTGCTCGAAATGTGAAATATTGCTCAAATGTTGCCCAAAGTGTGAAAAAGTGCGTAAGGGTGCTCAAAATGCAAAATGGTGCCCCAAACTCAAAAAAGTGCTCAAAAGGTGCTCAGCGCAATCGAGAAAGGCTTACCGAGGACGGAGTTTTCTTCGAAGTATTTTACAGAAACCTTGCTTTGTTACTTCTTCGCGTTTTGTTATTAGCACTTGTTGTTTTGCTGCAAAATAAACATACTTCACTTGCTGAAAATAGAGAAAATTTAATAAGCGCCCAGCCTCGAATAAGCGCCCACTCTCAAGGTCCAAAAATTTAATAAGCGCCCAGGGCGGTTAATCGAATAAATACGGTAACCTTCGCAGCACGCGCGCGAACTTTAAATAGATTTAACAAGACGCCTAAAGTCGTTTCCGTGGGATGCGTTGGTCTATGGAAACATAATGACGTTCTATCTGAATTAGGAATCGATGAGTAGGTTACCCGTACGGGTTGGTTTAATGTGCTTATGACTGAATTTATAGTAGCCTGCGTGGCAGGCTGCTATTTTTCCACAGTCCACATCCCCTTTTTGCTTCCTCCCTTACCCTATATCCCCTATCCCTTTCGACAGTGGTCGCCAGGATGGAGTTGATCTTGTTTTGATCTATCGCTATGTAGTTATTTTCGTAGCACGATTTGGATAAGAAAAAGAAGTTATTTTGCATCAAAACAAGGTTTACCCGTGTAACTTAAATTGGAATGTTAACGGAAACAAGTAATGGAGAACATGCGCATAATGCTCTCTGATTAACCTGAACAGGAACTATATGTATAAAGATACGTCAAATCTTGGTAGTAAGTTGCCACAGATAACTTTTTCAAAGAGAAATAAACATTGTAGTTTTAGGTTAATGGAACAAAACAAAACAAAACATCCGCTTGCTTTATCCAGTGTCGAACCCAGGGTTACAAAGTGCGATAAAGTTCCAATGTTTTAATCCAAGATGAAAGTTTAATATTCCAAGATGCTCTTGATACGGTTAAAAATTAATTGCAATGTGTTTCCAAGGTCTCAAAGTTAACATAGTTCCAATGATTATCCCTGATTCCAAGGTATAATAAGATTACCAAGGTCCTGATCCGTGTCCCATCCAGAAGTCCAATCCATGCCGAAAGAGAGTCGTCGATCGACGAGGACGATATTTTCGCGATTTCGCCGCCAATCGTCAAGGGTGCGAGTTGAAATTTACGCGATTCAAGGTGATTCAAGGTGTTTTCGATAAGAAAAGAAAAAAAACTGAACTCTAGCTGTGCTCGGCAAAGACTGGCGAACTCCGAAAAGAAAAATCTATCGGAAATCACGGCCCGCAACCAGACGCTACTAAAACCTTATGAAAAAGCTAGACCTAAACAAAAAAGAATCATGAAGGGAAGAAATAATTTGGCTTAGGTCGCCTTTCTTGACTTGCCAGTATCCCGCAGGATTTCGCTGGTTAACAAGCCATCCTAAACCACGAGGGCGACAAATTTGGCAAGGAACGTTCTGATTTCAACGTTCTTCAGAGGAAGCAAATCGATTAAAAATCGATACAGATTTTGTACAATCTGATTGGTCGGCTTGGAAGAAGAGATAATCGATAAAGATTTTAGGCAATCCTATTGGCTGGCTTTGTAATTTTGGGTACAACCGAACTGGATTTTTACCGTGGGAGTGCCACAGGCATCCCACGGAAAAAGGCTTTTGTTCACACATAAGAACCGTGATTTCAAATGGCGTGATTTTTGTAACGGGGCGAAGCTGCGCCGAACTTGAAATCGCTGAAAATGGTGAAAATGGATCGTCAGGCTTCTGCCACTGTCGTCGTGTGAACTGGTATCTTCGAACCGTAGCGGAGGGTTCGTGTTCACCAAACCCTCTCGGCCAACCGCTCCGGCACGATGTTCGAAGTGTGTGAACGAGTTGTTGATGTTCTGTGCTGTTTATTGTACGGGATAGCTTTTCATGGCCCAAAAGCTATCTAGTATACTGTAAACATAGCCAAGATAAGTTACTCCTCGTTACTGGGATAAGAAACAGGAAGTTTTTTAAATGTGAGATGGCAGAGAAATTCGTTCTTTTTACACGAGACTACCAGTTATGGTTTTTCTCTCATACTGTGCAGTGTGCAAAAACTGACCGGATCTTTCTTTATAGCACAGCTCCCGCGCGCGCAGTGGAGCCCCATTGCTAAGAGAAATTGGTAACCAGGGCGGATAAAGGTTGGGCGATGAAATGAGCGCGTCCGAGCAAAAAGGTGTGATGCAGTGCATGGACTGGGACTCTGCTTAGAAATGTCGCTTGTTTTCGACTTCATTCAGGGCTTGCGATGTGGTTTGTCCATTAGACACTGCCGCTGTCACTGAATTATGGCGGCTTGATTTGTTTCTTTGCACTTATTCCTCGTTCCTTTGTGCTGGTACGCTGTCTCCGAGAGGCAAATGTTGCTATTTTTTGCGGGAGCTTTAGTTGGAGTAGACAAACATCTCTTTTAAAGGGTTTCTCTATTATATTTTCGTTCTACTACTCGCCAATGTCGATGTTATTCCAAAACAAAAACAACTTAGTACTGTCTAAAACACGAAGGAAAATCTCATCCATGGCAAAACTAAAAGACAGCAGATCGTGATTCATAACTAGATGACGTGTATTTCATAAATGCGTGCAACTCGTGCAAGGTGAAATTATGCTAATTTCAATCACCATCATCCTTCTTTTTAATTTTGAAAAAAACATCTGATACGTCTTTCTGTTTCTTCGAAACTTCAAAATTAGTTTCCCCTCAGTTTTTACTGTTTACCTTGTTTTGTTTTACAGAGAAAAACGGAGAAAAAACCTTACAACTAACCTCAATAAATTTTGTTTACATGCAGTTGCCGGATTTGCGACGCATTGCGCGAATCGCCATGGCGCGTTGCACCCGAGAAGAAAAGTTTGAAGCAGTACAACGCCACTATATCAAAATATATCAACCTAATTTTTTGTTATTTTATATAAAATTTATCCCCTTTACCATATGTAAAAATTGAGGTTAAGAAGTGTTAAGCTTTTGCAAACGAAACGGCGAAAGACGATTAGGTGATATTTAGTGGAAGGAGGAGGGTATTCAACACTTTCAGATTAAACTCAAATTTGGCATTATATGACCAACAACTTCGACTTATAGACATACAGACACAAACATATGAAACTGTTTATTGATATTGTTATGAAACGAATTTATCTATTTAACATTGTAGCCTGACATTAAAGAAAGAAAGTAGGATTTCCGGTTTGCAGAAAGGAAAATTTCGCCGGCCTTCAAGCGCACCGGAAGCGGGGAAAGAGCGCTCGTGCCAGTCCTACTCCTCATCACACATTAAATGAAAAGCGGAGTGCTCGTTTCACCGCCCAACATTTATCCGCCCTGTTGGTAACCTATGAAAGCAAAAAAATTGGGTTATGACGTAGCGTATGCCCAAACGACCGTCCGTACACCCACTACATGTAAGCCGATGACAACTGTCAAATTTTAGCGGGAAAGCGTATTGCCACTTTTGCCACCCGCGTCTTGTGAAGCAGAGACTAAGAGTCAAAACGAAAACGGAAAGCGGAAAATGTTTCTGTATCCGTTTTGTTTAAACTATTAAGCTTAGATCAATTGTCATGTCCACAAATTTGGAAAATAGAGAAGGAGAAAGACAGAGAACAAGAGAAAGCCTGAGTAGCGCGACAGGACAGCGAAGCTCAACGAGAAAAGGAGCTAGAGCGGGAGAGAAAAAAAAGGAGACATTTTTTGTTGTAGGAACAACATGAAATTTTGTGGCGGCGGGATGCTGGCGGCCACTGAGGGTGAGAACGGTCGGCAGTGAAAAAAAGTAAACAAGAACACCTCCGACATATTTCCGCCATAAAACGTGTAACTAGGAAGTTTATGGAAGTTTCACGTTGCAATCGTGCAAAACAACGGCAAAGAAATGTACAGAAAAAGAGTGCTGCACTATTGTTGTTTTTTCACCGTTCTCGTTCCCTTCAGCGCTTAGCATTACATGTACGACTTTATATTTTGTTTGACCAAATTATAAAAATTATCGATAGCTTCGCTTTCAGCCCTGGCTAAATCTATATATTATCTTCAAACATCATTCTCTAATATAAATAACGTACTTTAGATGAAGACATATCTACAAATAGTGCGAAAGAAGAGTGCTTCAGAATGAGGCCAATACTACAGTATTTGTTTTACGTTATTTAGTGATTTCACCTGTCTGCTTATTGCTTATTAGCGAACATAAGATCCGAGGAAGGCGACGGCAGCGAAAACGGTCAGTCTTCATCGCGACAGTTCCAACTAACTTACTTTAGGGACTTTAAGATCCAACGACGCGGACGGCAACGAGGACAACAAAAAACAATAGGTTTTATAAGCAAATTAATCTAACAACTTTGCTCGTGCACCACCCTTTTTTGTACACTTCTCTGCCCGTTTTTGGTCGACTACGACGTGAAAATGCCTAATTTCACGTTTTATGGACTACGTAAACAAGCAACGACGAAATTTTGTTTCTCTTTCTGAACCTGGATATGATCCCTAGGAATTCAAATACAGGAGGGTTCGCCTACATTTGACAAAGTAAGTGTGTAGAAATAATTGCGATAAATACTAAAAGAACGCAAATCCACTTTTAGAGGCGACGTTCTCGTTGCCGTCGCGTCGTTGGATCTTAAAGTCCCTTTTGTCAAAATTATGCGAACTCTCCTGGAGTTGAATTCCTAAAAACCATATCCAAGTTCAGAAAGAGAAAGAACATTTCGTAGTAGCTTGTTTACGTTCCCATAAAAGGTGAAAATAGGCTTTTTCACGTCGTAGTCGTGCTGTAACGGCAAAGAAATGTACAAAAAAGCACGTGCAAAGTTGTTGTTTTGTAGCCTGAGTATCAGGCGTTTCTGGGGAAAAGGAGAAAGATGGAAGAGAAAAAAATCTCCTCTCCCCTAGCCCCTTAGGAAGGCCTCATACTCAGGCTAGTTGTTTTGCTAATCGTAACCTTTTGCTTTTTTTGGTCCCTACTGTTATGTGATAGCGCTACGCACGATTTACTATTAACACCCCTAGTCATACATAAAATTATTTAAAAAATACTAGAAAGTGATAAAAATTCAGTATCTGTTTTCAAATATATGGGTTTTCTTTTTGATTGACAGGACCAAGTCTTAAACTATCAACCCTTCAAAAGTAGTATTGTTTGCAAAAGTTTTTTAAAACACGTGCCCTACAGCGATTTTCGCGAGGTATACGCACGCATGCGCAGACGACAGTCCTGAACACTGGGTGACAACCTCGTTCCCAGGGTTCTCTATTACGTGTCCCAGGAGCGAGAGAGGGAGGAGTAGTAGAGCATCCTGGGAACGAGGTTCCCCTGGATGATACCTTCAGAGGGATGGGGCGCTAAGCGACTTTTTGTCTTTATTTTAGTACCACGACGAACAAGCAACCTACCACACCAGTGCAAATACTTTGTTGGAAGGGATACTGTCGTAGATCAGATCAAGGAAAAGTTGACAACAAATTCATCAAACATGATTCTTATCATCGCTTTACCTGGCATGGGCAAGACAGAGGTTGCAATTCATGTCGGACACTTGTTGCAAAAAGAACACTGGCCTGTTGTGTACGTCAAGGAGAAAAAACTCATAGAGATCTGCCAAAACATTCTCCATCAGTTAGATCATCGACATTGGACATTAGACAGTGATGTGATTTCACACTGCAAGCGAAAGCTATCGGAGCACGAAAAAGACACGATAGTCATTCTTGACAACACGGAAGATGCACAAAAAGATAAAGAGTTCGATGACTTTTTTGAATTCATGGTGAAGTTTGCACCGAAGATTCGAACCATCATAACAACACAGTATGACATCAACAGCCTCGATTCAGCAGACAGCATTCATAAGATTCGCCTCGATTCTTTAGATCCTTGCTCATCTTCTGAACTTTTGTTGAAAAGGGCACCGCGTATTCCAAAAGCTATTGCTGAAGAGATTGGCAAGTTGTGTGACGGGATACCCTTATTTCTTGGCTACAGTGGCTCAATGATGGCTGATGACTTCTGCCCCGAAGTTTTTGCCCGAGAGCTGAGAAAAAATCCCGTGAGAGTTGTACGCGATAACGAACATCTAACCCGGTTTTATACCAACATTGACCGCTTTTTTCGCCTTTTGCCTGAACCGGTGTTGAGAAAGCTAGTCCGCCTTTCCGTATTCCCAACGAGTTTTTCTGTGGATGACATCCGGTTTTTGTTCAAGGATGATTATGAAGTGGAAGTAGTAAAGACAAAATTGATTCAGTACTGTTTGCTTAAAAAGTTGAATGATGAAGGCGTTTTTGCCATTCATCAGCTCGTTAAGACTTATTGCAAAGAGCAAAGAGAAAGCTTAGGCATGGTTAATGAAGGGCGCTCCGCAGAGAGGGCTTTCAATCAACACTACCTCAAGATTCTGCGCGATCTTCACAATCTGTTTCTCACAAAAGATTCATCAAAGGCCATTCAAAGGTTCAGGGAAGATAAAGCAAATATCATGGAAGCATTTGAGAACTGTCTTTGTGACTCTAGTGAGCCCGAAGACAAAGTTTTTGCTATTGATGTTGCTAATGAAGTCGTGGACTTCTTAGCTAAAGTGTTATCACCACCTATGGAATGCACCCTTTTGTATCAAAAGTGTTGTGAGATCGCTAGGGACTCCATACGTGACGGTAAGAGACTTGCATACAGCTTAAATTCCCTTGGTTTCCGTTGTCTAGATGACGCAGAACACTGCAAAAGCGACGGTGCGGAGTATGCTTGTCAGAAGTTTGAAGAAGCTTGCTCAATATTCAGAGGATTGCCAAAGGAGACTCAGAAATGTGAGAAATACGCTCACGTAACCTCCAAACGTGGCTTGTGTGTGTTACTCCAGGTGAGAGATTTCTTTTGTCCTTACTTCCAGTAGATTGCTTTTTTCATGAGACATTAGCTTGCGTTAATCCGTCAGGATTAGAGAGCGAATGTAAGCCTAAGAAATCAGCCGACATTTCGCGACGCCACCACTGGTTTCCCCGTGAAATGACGTCTGAGAAACAAGCGCAGAAATTCCATACTGATGACGCGTCACTACCCAAATCTGGGTAGTGCTTCTGATTGGATGAACCAAAGTCTTAACCAACCGGAAACACTGCCCAAATCTGGGCCGTTCCCGGAGCCTCCTGGGGGCCTGAGCACGAGGACCAGGACGCTCTGGGGACACAGGATTAACACAGGATTTGAAGTCCTAGATTTTAGGACTTCTAGTCATTTCTGATTCAAAAGTAACTTGGAGGATTCTCTTTTAAAAGTTTTGAATCACCTAAATTTACAGTTATTGTCACTTCGGCAAGAGCAAGTGAACGCTATTACAGCTGTAGAAACGTTGTAGAAAATCAGAAATGACCAAACTGTCCTAAAATCTAGGACTTCAAATCCTGTGTCCCCAGAGGCTCCTGATCCTCGTGCTCAGGCCCCCAGGAGGCTCTCGGGACGAGAATGTATGAAATTTCTGCATTCGTTTCTCAGACTAATCTCGTACCCAGATCTCTCAGGTACGAGATTATATTTTGGAGCTGGGAACAGCCTTTCCCGCAGGAAACTTTGCCCTAGTACTCTAATAGTAGCAGCAACAACAACAACAACAACTTCATTTGTACCCAACAGTATCCAATAATGATTAACAAAATAAATTAACAAAATACAGAGGAGTTCAGGCTACCTCAAACAACCATAGGAGCTAAAGAAAAGGGCAGTCATGCTTAAATGATTTATCTATACTTATTTGGGTCAGATACCGCCATGTTACCTGACCGCTCCCAATAAGATACTTTATTACATGAAAATTTGGCGACACTAAAATTTAGCGATTTTGAAAAATTTTTTTTTAATAGCGGCACTTTAATTTAGCGATTTTTCGTAAATTTTGGAACATAAGTCACTTAATTTTGGCGATTTCACGAGCTGAAACTTTGGCGAATTAAGGTATTCAAAACTTTTATGACGACAATAGAAAAGTCATCTGATGAAATCATAAAGGTCAACAACTTCACTTAAATCAAAATCATACAACTTTCTGAAACTTAATTTCAAACGAAACAAACGAAACTGGAACTGTAATGTCATATCTCGTATGCTGTCCTCACTCATACTGTCAACCTCGTGCCTAGCGCGCTTTTCCCTGGCTTTAAAGGTCGGGCGCCCCACCTTTAAAGCTAGGGAAAAGCGCCCTGGGGACGAGGTTGGTACATAGTCATTGCACACAATAAATTCTGCCTTTACGAGTACTACTTCAAAATCGACCGTAAAATAGCATATGTATGTGAAACTGACTAGATGGCGGAATTTCATTTTGTACTCACTTTAATTTAGCGACGATTTAAATTTAGCGATTTTAAGAAAACATCGCTAAATTCGCTAAATTAAAGTGTCGCCAAAATTTCATGTAATAAGGTAATTGATGACCGCAACTGATCAGCTTTAGTAATACAGTATATGGCATTTGCTCATGTTAATTTTCTTGCTTTTCTCTTTAAGGGAGATGTAGAAGGAGGAAGGAAATCAATCCTCGAGGGAATCAAACTAAGAGAGGAGTTGGGTGTTCAACTGTATACCGCTACAGGAAACTGTGATCTTGGACGTAAGAAACTAAATATTCGCTTGGCACGTCTATATCAATTACCGTATTTACTCGTACAAGCCACGCGGCCCTTACTAAGCGCCTCAAATGCGGCGCTTATTGGAGGACGGTGTTCATTTGCAAGTTGGAGGCGCCATATATTTGATGTTGGTGTTTTTTTTTTTTTTCAAATGCGGCGCTTATTCGAGCAAATATGGTAATTAGTAGCATCATAGATCGTGAATAGAAGGTCTCGGCAGTAAGATTGCACAGAACAAAGCGACTAGAATCCAAGAATGTAGTTACCAGTATTCCTTATTTATTTTCGATCGCCTAAGCATGCCAATAAAACAAGAGGGTCATAATGGGCGTTTAACCTATAGGCGAGAGTTGCTCAAAATTTTCAGTCTGCTGAGGTGAATAGGTACGGTGATGTCTTGTTTAGGTGCTAGCTGAGACATCATGAAAAATGTTAGTGATACTAACGCTTATCTAAGGGTCTGGATGTCCGCCCCCACCCCCTCTTATTTCAAGGGGTCTGGATCCTGGCACTGCCATGAACATACATAGTTTTGTTGCCGCTATACATGCAAGGATAATCAGTAGGTCATTGGAAATTCAGATTTCAGGAAAATGATCTATAGTGATATCAAGTAAATCATCATACTGATGAGCAGGTATTTTTGAATAATTTTCAATTTTTTTATAGATTCTTACCGACATTGCGGTGACTACAAGAAGGCTCTCGAAATTTGGCAAACAGAGACGCTGCCGGTTTACATAAAGCAGCTAGGTAACGCTCATCCCTGGACGGCTTCAATCATTCAGCACATCGCATCCATGTACTTGGAGCTTGCACGAAAGGATCCAGCGCAGTACGCTGAGTCCGCCGAGACTTGCACCAGACGAGCTTTAGAACTGAGGTGGAAGCTGTTAGGTGAGCATCAAGACACGGCTCGTTCGCACACTCGGCTAAGCGAAGTTCTTTGTATACAAGGGAAATTTGAAATGGCCTTAAAAGAACTTGAAGAGGCTTTGGATATTCAAAACGATGTCTTGGGTGGTAACCACGAGGTCACGCTCAACACGATAAAGAAAAAAGGAGAGGTTCTAGATGCTATGAGACGAACAGGGCAGGTCCAAGAGGCTGAGGAGACACTGCTAGCACATAAATTTGCAAACACACACTTTCCGAACAACTAAGATCCGAACTTTTGCGTCCAAGTTGCGGTAAATGAAAATGGTTGTGCAAATGGTAAACGCAATTACCGTTCGGAATTGTCAAGTCTTGAGATTTTTTTAGCATTTACTCACATTCTGAATCGACCGGTTTGTCAGCTAGTGTAAACAGAAAACAACTTTATTAGATCCCCTAGCACACTCGCATAATCATGAAGCGACATAGAAGCAAGTAAGTAAGCAATTTTTAGAGTAACTCTATTTCTATAGTGTAAGCCTGTGAATAGGATCCGATAAGATCCGATGGCTCGAACAACCTCGTTCCCAGGCTTCTCTTCTATCTGTCCCTGCGGAGGGAGATCCCTGGAAACGAGGTTGCATGGACGAAGAAGAGCGTAAAAGTGCGCCGAGACGGGGAGAGAGGACAGCCAGGAAAGACCTTTTCAAAGACTATTTCAAGATCATTACAAAACAAGCCGAAGGAAGAATTCCTTTCCTCCAGTTAACAAACTTTTCAGAATTACCGTCTTTAAGAAAGGTAAACATGAATAAATAAGAACAGGAGCCCTGATAAGAAAAAGTAAATCTTCAGAAAGAATACGCAGGTATTTAGATGCACGCGAATTTTTTTTTTTGTTGTAATATCAGATTTTATTTTTACTTTGCACATAATGATCGATTGGACACGCTGGCTTATATGACCTGAATAGTATTCGACATGTGTCTGGTTTGTCTGGTTTGATAAGCTTTTCAATATAAAATCAATTGTACACGAGTCTCGTTGCATTTGTTTGTGATATTACACGCTTCGTGAAAGCGATATTATTCCTTGTACACCAAGAGAACATAAAAGGTTTAAAAAAGGTCTTTTAAGTCTTAGTTGTGTAAACAGAATAGCATAATTACCCAAAACTTACACACCAATATCTCAAAGTCAAACTACTCAAATGCAAATTTCCTATGACGAACGTTTGCTAGGAACACCAATTTTGTGACGATCGGAATAAAACTAAGGTAACTTTCTGTTCTAGCTAAAGGTTTCCTTTACCTATGTATAGAGAATTTTTTCGATTATTCGCCAGGTCTAAAAGAGAAAGTAGTTCATATTAACTCCTCAGACATTTAGTAGAGTAAATATTCTAACGCTTGTTTACTGTCCGCGAAATACATCCAAACAAAAGAAAGTAAAAGAAATATCACCTAAAAGTAAAGCGTCTTTATTAGATTTTCAAGAATTGTATTGGGTTAACAAAGAATCGTTTTAGCTTAATTCGTTACACCTGTCGGCCCTTTGTTGTAGGACGGTTAGTCACACAATGACACTGTAATGTAGTAGACAATAAAGAAAACTTGCTAATCACCTCAGGTGAACTAATTAATCACTGTCAGTAATTCCCTTCGACTCGCAATATTGACTATTGATAATAGTCCGTCACTAAAAGCTTACTCATGGCCCTGTCTAAGTTTGTGGGTACATAGTTTGAGATTTACAAAGACGTTTTGGTGGAAACGGGACTCTAATACTTTTACTGTAAGCGCATTGACTGTGACTTGACAAAAAGCCTCCACAATACAGTTTTCTGAAATGCGGAAAATATTTTAACTGGAAACGTTATCCAAGCCACGATGATTTATACAACTTCAACATTTCATGTACAATATTCCTACCGCCAACCGTGTTGTTACAGGAAATATGTGTCCTCAAACCTTAAGACAAACGATTTCCTCATTTTCACTGAGTTACTGACAAAAAGAAGTAATAATGAAAGCATAGTTGAACTAAATAAAACTGATCAATTCGTCCCAGCTGCCAAAAAAAAGAGTAAAATGTGATTAATGGGCGGTTGTCCTAAACAGTTTTTAGGGTTTTAGCTTAGTTACATGGAATATGTTTTATGAAAGTCATGAAAATCGTTAATAAAACGTGTATTCAGAAATTCCATATTACAAAGCTATCGGCTGATTCTGTGCTACAAGCCTCATCTGCCAAATACGTTACTTTCAAGTTTACAACTTACAATATCTTGCACGTTGTAGTCGTACGGCTATTACTGTTTGTTAAAAAATGTCCTTGCTTGCAAACAAACACAAACGCAGATAACTAATACCGGCTAAAACGTAAACTCATCCATAGCCTGCGAAAGCAGACGCATTTTTCGGGTCTTGTTTCACCCACCGATAAAAGAGCGTCTGCTCTTGCAGTTTAACTTATACAAGACGTTTCATTTACTCGTCAACTGCTGACCGATCATCCTGAAATTGACTCGCCGCAATCAAAAGAAACTCAGGTAACGTGGTTCCTAATGCAAAGATATTTTTGCGCGGTCCATTAGGTACAAGGACTCTTCAAATGTGCAAGGAAAACCAGGGATAGGCACGGTTTTTTCAAAGATGGTTCAACACAGATCACTAGTTTTTTTAAAAATATCATAACAAAACTGGTACATGTCTCATGACAAAAAAAGCTTGATTTTGTCCGTGTGGGGTGACCTGTGCACAACTTTCGTCCACAGGATTTATTGATTCTGTTATCCAAATTACAGTGCGGAAAATAGTTGTTAGATGAGACAATATACGTAAAATACTCGGCGAGGGTCAATCTCTTTCCCATAGGCCGCGATCCTTTTGGTCAGCGACGGAAGAGACCCTGGGATCTGGGGACGACAATGGACGTGGGTGGGCACAGAAAGTTTGCACAGCTGAAGAAAACAACTTTAAAGATTAAAACCACGTGAACTTGAAGTCAAGGTATCTTTCACTTCATCAGCTATTTAACAGTATAACCAAATGCAACTTTACAACTTTTAGATGGATAAACTCAGCATTGCGAGATGATTAAAATTAGGTCTAAAGAGTTTGCTTCGATATATGAGGATACAGTAAAACAACATATCATGTATTTTGGTAATAGTTCTTAGTTTCTACAATGTTTTAGACTCATACAACTCAGAGCTGTATATCCTTAGGCAACGACATCAGCGTTTAACAAGTGAAGACGTCTTGCGGGAATAAAACGATTAAATTAGAAGGAGAACACAAAATTCATATAAAAACTTACGAGAGTCATACATATATACATCTTTTTTTTCAGTAATGCTTATTCGGTAAAAAAATCAAGCTTGCACTATTTCAAAGCAGTAAATTGTCACTGAATGATTTTATGTATAAAAAAGAAAATAAACACGTTTGAAGTCTAATTTTGAGCTCGAAGTTTGGGAAAACATTACAAACAAAACCGCATCTTTTAATCAAAAAGGGGAAATATATCATTGTTGTATTTGACGCCATTTCCCTTAATATATATTAATTAAAAGTCTAAATCGATCAAGACCTTTTCATGAAGAATAGTCTTAATAAAAACTTAAACTTTTTATGAAAAATAGTACGTAAATTAAACACCTGCAAGATTTACTTTAGCCGGGCAATAACCAACAAAAACATAACGATACAGCGTTTGTTCACCCGGAGTTATAAAGGAGGAAAGAGATATTTTTTTGGATATTTTAAGATTCGTATCATAACAAAAGAGATTTTTGAAAAGAGTCTTGCCTCTCAATACAAGTATTAAAACTTTTTGCCATTAATCAAATTTACAACCAAGGTGCAAAAGTAGCATGACATGGCATTGAAAGTGTCCGGTGCAATTAGAACTAGCAAACCGCTTGCTCAGTTACTTCAAACAGAGTTTGATCATACAATTACAACGGAAAAAATACCATCCTAATTCTATATACACGAAAAACTTTTTTAAGGGTTTATAACATCTATTTTGGAAGTAGCTAATTTCTTAATTCCTCCTCTCATTGTGACCTTTTCGCAACTGGAGCGAAGAGCAATCAAATTCTATTGATTAAAACTACTACAAGCATTACGGTCAGAGGTACCATGCAAAACACATTTGAAATTGTCATCTATGAAAGCCTGAATCCACAAAGGCCAAAGCAAATTAAATTATGAGCAGAGACCAGACGTGGATAAACTATAGCCTTAAACTGCCAAAGCTTTAAAAAATGCTACCTTATTTTAGAAGTAATCTGATGTTAATCAAAACATTTATCTATTTGGCAATTCAATAAAAACGATATGTACGTTTTTATCTAATAAATGGAAGAAACCTTCAAAATTTCCTTTCATTTCCCTTTGTGCGGTTAAGCCGTCACAAAGACCGAAGCAAAATCAAATCACATATCATAGTCAATCACAAGGTCAAAAGGCTCTGTAAGTCTTTTCACTTGCTCGATTATGTGCAATTTGATAAATAAGATAAGGCAAACATTATATTATAACTTACAATGAGCACCTAAAAAATTCTCAAATTGAAAAGTTTGCCGATAAAACATTTATGAAGCGAAAAAAATCCATTTTTGGACAAGCCATCTTTACTATGGTTGATTACAAAACAAAGATTGTCCGGCAATTTTTTCTCACAAAATATCAACATTATGTGACGCAAGAACTTAAGTGGCTGGTAGCAGGGCTTTGTCCAAATCGGCTTTCATTTTCTTTTGCTCATAAAGGTTGCTATGAAGCTTCGTTATCGGGATGAAAATAAGTCTCTCGTTCATCAACAAAGCAAATTGACTTAAGAGATTTTATGTAATGTTGTTATTTCAGCATTATATACGCCGCAAATGCCGATGCAATTATATTAAGGAGATGCGTATATATATGGGTGTAATTACTTTTCAGAAAAGCTTTTAAAAAATAAGCATGCACAAACGAACTTGAACTTGGTCGTGCGTTTCACCTATCTTTTTCAGCATAATTATTAACAATATCGTTTCTCAGAGTTTTGAAAATGTGAAGCTCTGGATTTTAAATTAAATCCGAGGGAAGAACGTGAAAATGGTACACTCCGTGAACGATTTACTCATGCTTCTATGGTAAAACGTTCTTTGTCACTTCAAGTTCACTGCCTGAGTTTTTATCATGATATCCAAAATGGTGAATGTCGTTTTAGAACAAAAAGCGCAAGAGAGAAACTTCCAACTAACCCACGCGGAACTGAGGCTTTACTTTTTGAA